ACTCAACTGAGTCTGTTCAATTTCTCCTTTTCACTTTGAGCTCAAATTTCAACAGCATGAGAAGAGCTTGATTCAGCCTCATCTGAAGCTCAGCAACTCTCTGTGATGCTTTAGGAAGATTCTTTGACTTCCTGTTTCCAGTAGTTGTTTGGAATCATGAACAAATTATATGACTGAGACAAAGAAGGGGGAGGAACTTGAAGTGATTGGAAAACAAAGCATACAGGAAAAGCTCAAAGCAAGAAAAAAGCACTGCAAGAAAAAGTTGTGCAAATGTTTACCATTGACAGGTAATATTACAAAGGGACCCTTTTATAATTTCATTTCAACTGCATACAGTTGACCAAGTTTTTCTTGCAGTGAAGGTCAAGAGGCCCAGTTTGTAAGGGCAATTTCTAATTTTCTGATGCTTGTGTGGTGCAAAAGTGCACACACTTCAAGAGGCTGTATTAGTGGTCTCAGGAATCAGATGCAGAAGAACAGATCATTGTATTTATCTGTGATCAAGTTACTTGATATGCTACTAAAACTAGGGGCTTCTCTGTGATGAAACAGGAGAAAACTATTGAACTTTCACTTGGAAAGAAAAGGGAAAAACAGAGTGATAGAGAGGTGAAATTCCAACAGTGGACATAAGGACATTTAAACTTTAACAAGAATTCAATCATCAGTCTGCTAGATATCACTGTTAAGTGGTTGATATAGGAGATGACATGCAATGTGATTCATCAATTCAGAGCTATAAAAACCAACAATGTGGAATCTGAAAAAGTTAGGTGTTTCCAAGTAAGTCAATTATTAGGCTACCAATGTGAGGGATGATCTGAGGTGTGGCTGATTCCAAGTTATGATATCAAAATGGACAAGCTTTGACCCTTGGATCTGATTCAGAGCCAGCATCTTTGGTATAATCACATGAGGGGATGAGTGAGAGTATATGAGAGAATGGCAACATTTGCTAGCTAATGTGAGTTATAAATACTATCAATGAGTCATGTCCTGCATCCCAATGGCAGTAGTTGATTTGTAAATTTCTCAGCTTGAATTGAAACTCTAACTGTCATAACCTTGGTTCAAATCCCATCCCAATCAATTTTCTTTATCCATGAAGTGCTCAGCAACAGCCTGGCTTTGGGCCGCACTAATTGGTGGGTCTTTGATTAATACGGGAGCTGCTGTGGACTTATGCCCTAAATGTGGAAGCAATAAAACCAGGGTCATAGGTAGCACATCCAATTCCCAATGTCTGCAGTTCTGGACCTGTGTACACAATCTTCCTCATCCTCAGTGTCAGGCACTAGGGGTCTCATCAGATTTATACTACTGTGATAATTGCAAGAAGGACTGGATTGATAGCAACTGCCACTGGGAATATAGAAAACACCACTGGGATCACTGCCCTTCAAATAATCAACACCCAGATCTTGATAAACAACCATCCAAGTAATTATAAACCAGCTTGATCTGAAGCTTGTTAGGATGCCTTGCAACAATGACCAGCCTGAGACAAGGAAATTGCATACAGATAAACCATTTTTTGTATATTTTTCATACAAACTTAACTCAAGTTCCTGCCAGGAGGTTAGAAATCAAACTCCAAAAGTGGGACTTATGAGATCCATAAGCAAGCTCTGTGCCAGCATAGCAAAAAAGAGGATGAATATTTTCAAGGACCTGAATCTATGAATAAGTTATTCACCAATTGGCTCAAAAAACTCTCTCACAAATTGGCTTCAAACACCTGGCTTTGGTGATACTGAAATTGCCATTGTTTGTAATGAAGCTGAGCTCATAACATGGGGTGGCAAGAACAGTCTTTTACCATGAAGCTGGAAATGAAATTGTTAGATGGTTTGTGGAAAATGCTGATCTGTTTCTGTATCCAGGGCAAAAGTCTGGCTCTAAACCTGTCCAGGGCACAGCAGCTGCAATAAGAACATGAATGACATGTGGTTATCTTGTTGATGAAAATGGGATTAGCGCACTCTGACAAAAGTGGGTATGATCACTTCTTCTCATTTGAAATTAAGAATGTTTTTGTAAGATTTTGAATTGTAAGAGCTGAGAGTGATCCTCACTGTGGGGACAAAGTGACAAGGCAGTGAGGCCTTGGATCAGTTCTAGAAACAATCTGTGGGGCTTTATTTCAAGGAGCTAGCTCAGTGGGAGATTTATTCAGTCTGGGGTCTCTCCGTACAAGATGAATCATAAGAATAAGAAAGAGAAAAGGAATAAGAATCTTACCTTCCTCTATACTGAGCTAGGTGGGGGAAGGGTATAAGAGAGACTAAGTACTGGAATCAAACTATGGAATATTTAATGAGGGACCTCCTTGTGAATTCCAAGTGAAACAGGGATTCACATGTATGCTTATATCAAAACTAGAATTTAATTAGTTCCACCACAGCATTGTTCCAGCTATTTCTTTTCTCCCTCAATCCAAAATAAATTCATCTTTGTGGTTAGTCATCCTCACCAGAATCAGCATCTGTGACTTTCACTTCCTGAAACTGGAGGCTGCTCCATCCTAACAGCCTTATTTTTTGAAGGAGGAATCAGATTTTCATGTTGCTTATTTAAATTTATTTAATAGCATTTGAGACTCATTGAGAAATGCACACATACTCTATCCAATTTGTTTTTCTTTTTGAAATTTGGAATATGGTTTGAATCTGATTAGTGATCTATTGATTTGTGTCTTGTGGTATATGATTTGTGCTTGTATGGTGACAGGGCCAGAGGAACAAGGAAAAACCCCTCATAAATTTCATGCAGTAACCAAATAACTATCAATTATTGAAAGATTTTATGTATATTTTTGGTGCTCTTTTGTTTACGTTTTGCATGTAGGCTCTCAGATTGTAAGTAAGAAATTTCATCATTTATTTGTGTGTACTTCTTTTTTTCAAAATTATTTTGGCTTTGTAGATATTTATTCCTGTTAGCCAAAAGAGCATTGGGTAAGTGTAAGGACTCCATAGAGTCCTTCACTTTCCTTTGGAAAAGGCACTAGCAGAGGAGCTCAATAGCTCCTAAGGAGAGGTTTCTAGTACCAAAGGGGGTTTAATTGCAGTCTAGGCTGGAGAGAAAGTTCTCTCATTAGTATATACAAGTGAAGGAAATGAGAAGAGAAGGTAGGAAGACCGGGTACTTATCTAGACCAGAAAGAAAGATCTCTGCTGTCTAGGTCAAGGAGAAGGGTGACACTAAATACAAGGGGGAAACAGGCTTATGTAATCCCGTGACATGTTTGTGTGAGCCTGTGAGGAGCAGGGATCACAGTAAATTATATATAGGAAAATTTACAAGAAATGTTTGTTTTTGGATAAAGTAAAGGCATTGTATTGGTTAAAAAAATGTTAGGGCAAGTGTATTACACATTACCATGATTCTCACAAACAAAAATTGTATAGTGGCTAGACAGAAATGCTTCCAAGCTCCAGTTAAATAAAGCTTGGAGTGCTGGGGGGCCTCCTTAACCCCTGAAAACAAGGTGTTCAAGCTTTTTTCAGACTCATTTCAGCTTTTCATTGAACTTGCTTAAGTGGAGGTTGGATTCAAGCCCAAGCCAGTCTCTTTGAAGATCTTGAAGGAATCTGTGGCTTCAGCAAAGATTGATTAATGTGGCCACTTTGGTTGAGCACATGAGTCTGTGTTGGCTTTTGACCATAATGACTGGGTAAATATTGACATTGTGCAGGACACTTTCTTGAGTCAGGGATACATGACAAAGCCTGGTGGCTGAAGCTTGCTCCAGGGACTAAATTGGCCACCAGGGCTCTTTCAAACAATTCTGCAGTCCAGAGCAATGTTTCTGAAAAGAGAAAAAGGTCCCCCTCTTGGGGTAAGTTTGTCTTTTCAGGGGGTTTGACAGTCCTTGATGCTAGTTTTTCTGATTTTATGTTTTCATATTTGTAACATATATATACCCAATCCTGCAAAAGAAAATAGCACTTCTATTTGGGCTTTGAAGACTGGAAATACTAGTGGAATTAGTGGCACTAACTTCTCAAATCAAATGGATAATGAACTCAAGATAGGGGAGCCCACTCTGGCAGGTCAGACCGTTTCAGTAAGAAGGAACTTGTGGTGAGCTGACTAGTCTCCCTACGTCAAACCTTCACCTGAATTGATTTTGTTGCACAAACCAATAAAACTCAACCAGTGGTTAAGAGCTTCATTAAAGTCACTGATGCTGCATCAAAATAATCTCCACTCATTGGGCTTCTCTTGAAAACTCTTGAAAAAGATAAATCATGTGGGTTTTCTTTTTATGGTTCAAGACCAGAGAAATTATCAGCATTGTATTCAGGAAATGAACATCAGTCATGTCAGTTGTGCCATTCAGTGAAGTTATGACATATAAGCCTTAACAAATTTCCGGAAGGGAATGTGGGGGAGATGCCAAATACCAGCAATTGGCTGACTTAACACAAGTCCCTCGCTTCGGAGGGCCCTGGTACAGGGCTGGCGCGAAGCGCCCTCGCGCGAAGCGCGACCTCCGAAGGAGGGACTTGCAGGTTATTGCTTACAGTTGACGTGGGAGCTTTCACCATTTTGGTGGGGGTTTTTTCCCCCCCCTCATTCCGGTGACTTCCCTCCTCAGACGTGTCACGCCTGTGGAACCATTTGAAAGCCCTGGTCCTTCTCTATTTTTCTGGGGGTCTCAAGACTAGTTTCATGCTCCCCATCCACTCTTTTTTTGTGTTAGAAAATTGTTTTATTTTCATTGTACCACATCCGGCCGATCTGTAAAGATGGAACATCTTCCGACGGGTTCTAGCCAAACCTGTAATGACTGTGGAGCCTAACGCATAGACATTAGCTATCAAGAATTCCGTAAGAGATTCTGTAAGGTACTGTGGGCACCGGGAGTCGGGACTGATCTTGTAAATACCTCTTGAGGGATGCCATTGTCCGGATGTCTTCTCTCCACAATTGACTTCCCCCTTGACAAACAGCTACTGAACCCTTTCATATTCCTTCCCCAATCACCAAAAATGGATCACAAAACCCTCACGGTATGCGAGTTACTCCAGTCTCAACCATGTAAGATGACACCAAAGTCGTTCATGGTGCACTTCTTGTGCTCGCAAAATTCTGATATTGCATATCGGCGACGTTATTGGGCCGAGTCGGCCATAGACTCAACTATGCGCCTGGTTGATGCTATGGCCGATGAGATTAAGAGCTCTGCTGTGGGCCGTGATGCTTGGGCCAAGTTTATCCAAGACGAGGTAAGATAGTGACCGACTTCATCAGATCCAATGGATAGCTGATCGGCCATCTCACTTTGACCAGGCCATCGAGATCCTTGCAAGTCAGAAGCCCCCAAAGGGGCACTATCCCCAGGGATCGTTCCACAGCTCGGACAAGGTCAAAGAGTCCTTCTTCACTCAAGAAGAGAAGGATCGCCGCGAAGAGATCCTCACATCAACACACACACCCTTCTTGTACAACATTTTGATGGGTGCACTTCACAAGCAGCACAAACAGAAAGACTCAACCAACACTGATGACAAGGGCGATAGCGATTTGGAGGATGATTTTCAAAGTGATGAGGTTCCTGAGGACATGCCTCTTGATCAGGATGTTGTAGCATATACCAAAATGCACACTGGAGAAGCTAAGGTCAACTTTCGGTTCCATAGGGTCAGCAACTTCTCTTTGACCCTTTGTAAATCCTCAGGACTAAATCCCTTGGGCTTTGAGAGTGTAGATAATCACCACAGTGTGTTCGATGGTTACCTTTGCATCAAATCGCCGAGCTAATGGGTTACAGCTGATGAATGCTATGCGATTCATGGCATGCGGTGTCTCAGAACGTGTCCACAACTACATGAACTTTATAGGCTTAAGCTCATCGCGCTGGACATCTCTTGCGGCGTTGAACACTTTGGCTAAGGAGGCTAAAGGGAAGTTAAGATCCGGCATGGCTATCAAGGCTGGGATTCCAATTTCCCCTACGATCTGCATCGATAACATTGACATGGTTGAAAAAGTGCATGCATTGTCAGTTGGGAACAAGACTCATACGTTCCGAGGCACTTGGGGATACATCCACTTCCCCAACCCTGAGCTTCTCCGTTCTCTCAATATGGATGAATTATCTTTGCCTGAGTACTACAAAGCAATCGAGCTGGCCAACTCAGCTCCAATTGAGCCGGAGTATTTTCTTCCCACCACTGAATCCAATATTGTTGAAGAGGGGGTTTGGAAATCTCAAATCGCCCAGGTTTTGAAGAAGTACATCGCAGTACCAGGCGACAAGAAGTCGGCATTACCTTTGCACCCGCCTGTTGTTGATCAGATCAGTCATGAAAAGCCCGATGTACAAATGCTTAAACTCATGGATGCTTCAGACAACTGCGCTGAGGGGGTCGGTCAGGTTTTTAATGGTATTCTCAGCCAATCTGGCCTATCCGTGGATGAATTCTTTGCACGACTCCAGCCTATGGATGGTGACTTGGGTGTTGAAGTTACCTCAGTATAAGCATACTCGGCATCCGGTTGTGTAATGATAGTCACAGTTGTAACCTAATCGAAACCTAATTGAGATTGTATTTAAGTAGTAACTTTGTTGTACCGTTTCTACTTTTTCTCATTCAGTTTCTTTTTGCTGTTTCAACTCTCATCGCACAACAGGTGTGCTCGACTCGTCTCTTCTCATCCCAACTCTCGTGTAGTGTCTAACACATCGTCGGTCTTTCAAAAAGGTTCTTGTCTGGTTTCACTTCATTTCTCACTTCATTCTCATTTTATCATGATCTCGAAATTCATTCAGTTTCTTTTTGCTGTTTCAACTCTCATCGCACAACAGGTGTGCTCGACTCGTCTCTTCTCATCCCAACTCTCGTGTAGTGTCTAACACATCGTCGGTCTTTCAAAAAGGTGTGCTCGACTCGTCTCTTCTCATCCCAACTCTCGTGTAGTGTCTAACACATCGTCGGTCTTTCAAAAAGACTCGCTGCGCCTATCATTTCTATAGGTTATGAGCCCAGAGTTCTAACTCTAGGAACGCGCTTTTGACACCCACGAATCAATAAACATGTCTGAAACCAAAAATCAAATCCCCGATCTTTCCAAGACGACTTTTGGCGCTTGGAAGCAAAAAGTGATCGGTTACTGCCAACAACTCGGTTTGCGAAAATATCTGACACTCAAGGTCGAACCAACCGAAGCTGCAGCACTCGAAGTATACCAGACGAACAGATCCAAGACGGCTGGTATACTGGTTTCAAACATGGGGGTAACAAATTATAATCGATTTGTTACCGAGAAGAACGACGAGGATCCTGTCGCACTCTGGAAGCTATTGACAGACTACTTCGAAGCCAAAACCCCCGGCAATCAAGCTCGAGTTTACAACGACTTCTGCACATTCGAGTACAAGGGAAGCGATCTCACTGCCTACCTTGAGCTAGTCGACCAGCACCTCAAGCTTATGGCTTCCGTTGGAATCAAAATGGAAGGCGAAGATCGGCACATCACCGAATCATTTGTTGCTGAAAACATCGTATTTAAGGCTCCATCCAAATATGACACCACCAAAGAACTATTGCACTCAATGAGACCACTCACTATCGCCGTTGTTCAAGAGACATTCAACAACAAACGACTCGATGTCTCAGCTTCCGGGTCGGTCACTATCAAGTCTGAAGACACGGCTCTCACCGCCTCCTCATCATCGAACAAGTCCAAATCCAAGAGACGTGAATGGTGTACCGGCGGAAAGCACAATCCTAAATCTGGACACACCGAGAGCGAGTGTCGGCATCTTGCCAACATACGAGCGGCTGCGAAGAAGGCACAGGCTGAAAACTCAGATGCCGGCGATTCTCAATCCACTGGAAACGGTCTTCGATGCACTATCAAGGCCTTTGCAGCAATAAGTACTCCTAACTTATGCTATCTCGACAGTGGGGCATCCCACCACATGTTCACCGACAAGTCGCTATTCAAAAACTATCAACAGAAAATCAGTCATGTCGAGCTCGCCGACGGTAACACCATTGAGGTTCAAGGCAAAGGATTCGTTAACGTCCGAGCCGAGAATAACTCAATAATCCCGATGAAAGCTCTTCACGTGCCTGGACTCAGCGCGACATTGATCAGCTTGGGAAGACTCTATGAACGAGGGTGCGAAATCAAACGGACCGGAAAGTCATCATTCGTTCTAGTTCGTGAAGGTGAAGTCATCTTCAAGGCTTCAATTATCGGCGGCACTTGCATGGTTCACATCGTTCCGACTCACGAAGACGCGCCGGACACTGCAGCGACGACGCACTGAGAAGGATGTACGGAATCAAGCTGCCCAAAATCAAATGTGATGCATGCTCATTATCTAAATCTCATCGTCTTGTATTCCCTTCTACACTACCCAAAGCAACCCACCCACTTGAATCAGTCCACATGGATCTCAGCGGGAAAATTACTCCTGCTTCATGTGGAGGGGGGCTTTACTACTTCAAAATAACCGACTGGTTCACTAGATACCGTCATGTTTTTATACTCTCGTCTAAATCTCAAACATTTTCGAAATTTGTTGAATACTACAACAATGTCACCACTTTGCATGATCGGCCAATCAAATCGGTTATCTTTGATGGAGGAGGAGAATTTAATTCTAAAGAATTCACCTCATTCCTGAAATCAAAAGGAGTTACTATCCACGTGACTGCTCCTTACACGCCGCAACAGAATGCAGTGGCTGAAAGAGGAAATCGCACGACAAGTGAAAAGGCCCGGGCATTGCTCAAGCAGGCAAGATTGCCGGCAGAGTACTGGGGAGAGGCCGTATCTACTGCGGTATTTCTCGAAAATATTACCCCAACGCGCACACTCCGATGGAAAACACCTTATGAGCTGTGGTTTGATTCTCAATTTGACACCTCTCGGCTTCGCCCGTTTGGTTGCAAAGCTTTTCCCAACATCCCCGACAAATTACGGCATGGCAAGTTTGGTGACACAGCTAAAGAAGGTATAATGGTCGGGTATCAACTGGGAATGCACAACTGGCGCATTCTACTTCCAGGAGGGAAGGTCGAGCGCTGCCATGATGTCACCTTCGACGAAGCGGAGTTCCCAGGAGTCTCCCTTCTCTCCTCAGCTGATACCTCAGACGGCGCCGAAATGCCAGATCCTCAAGAGTTCCAAGAACTGGAGGCATCGGCGCTTCCACACTCTGATCTCCATCCCAGCCGGAACATTGATCAGTCGGATGATGACTCAATATATGTCGATCCGGAAGAATCCGTTGATCCGATCGATCCTAATCCAAACCGTGCTCCCGATCCCATTCCCGAACCCTCTTCAACCTCAAATCCCCGGCCGCGACCGGGATGGGATATCGTACTGGCTCCAGTCAAGGCCTCGAAAGACATCTCGTCAGATATTGATCCTGCCAACATCATTACTCACAAGCGACGAGCAAACATGGCCATTCTCGACCACTTCGACGGACTCATGCTTGATGAGTTTCTACCAGATCTCGGCATCCATCCAACAGCCTTCATCTCAGTCGGTGTTCCTCAGACGTACAATCAAGCCATGGCATCGACTGAAGCGGCGCAATGGAGGGCGGCTGTCGAACTCGAACTCTCAGCGATGATCGACCTCGAAGTTTGGGAGATTGTCCCGATTCCCATCGGTCGGCGGTTGTTGGGTACCATCTGGGTATTTCGCAAGAAACTCAACGAAGACGGGGCCGTGTCCAAATTTAAGGCTCGTCTTTGCGCTCAGGGGTCTCTTCAAGCCGCCGAGGACATACTTCACACCTACGCTCCCACTGGTCGCTTTGCCGCACTTCGCACCGCAATCGTCGCTGGTCTCTCAAAAGGGCATGCGATTCATCAGATGGACGCCAAGAACGCTTTTCTCAATGGAGAGCTCGAGGAAGAAGTCTACCTTCGTCCTCCTGCGGGCTTGTCCGTCCCTGCCGGTCACTGCCTTCGATTGAAAAAGGCGATCTATGGTCTGCGGCAGGCTCCTCGTGTCTGGTACGCTGCCTTATCCCGGTTCTTTACGTCGATCAACTTCGAACCCTCGCCGGCCGATCCCTGTTTGTTCATTAGCAAGATGAGCGGTTGGGAATGCTTTGTTCATGTGTACGTCGACGACATGGTCATCATCAGTCCTGACGTCCAACGCTTCAAAAGTCTGATCTCGGCGCGCTTCAAGATGGACGACATTGGCGAGCTAAAACACTTGCTTGGTGTCAAAGTTTCGCGCATCGACGATAAGCAGCTCTACCTCTCGCAAGAAGTATACCTCGCCAAAGTGCTTGACGATCACAACTTGTCCGATGCTCGGCCGACCTCAGTCCCAATGGTCCCTAACACCCAGCTCGCTCGCGCTACTCCAGTGGAACGACAGCAATTCGAGCAAGTGGGGGCCAACTATAGGCGATCGATTGGCATGCTGATGTATCTGGCAGTATGCACTCGGCCTGACATCGCTTTTACCCTATCCCAGCTCTCCAAACATCTCGAGTCGCCAGGCATCACCCACTGGCGAGCAGTTATCCATCTCATGCGATATCTCGCAGGCACTCGCAATCACGGCATATTGCTCGACGGCAGGTCTCCTACCTACGAGTTGAAAGTATTCTCGGATGCTGATTGGGCAAACGACAAAGGGGATTGTCGCTCGTACTCAGGCTACATTGCAACGCTCAACAAGTCCGTCATCTCATGGCGTTCACGCAAACAACCGGTGGTCGCGGTCTCGACTACGGAGGCGGAATACATCTCTCTCTTCGAAGCTGCTCAAGAGGCGAAGTGGCTTCTAATCCTTATCGAATCTCTAGGCCTAACTCTCTCGGGCAAACTCACTCTCATGGTTGACAATCAATCCGCCATCGCACTCGCCAACAATCCGATGTTTCAACAACGCACCAAGCACATTCCAATCAAGTATCACTGGATCAGAGACTTCATCAATGAAGGCACTGCCGAAACCCGATACGTTCCAACAAACGATCAACTCGCCGACTTTCTCACCAAAGCACTACCAAAGAAAAAGCACGTCGACTCTATTATCAAGCTCAACATCAACCGGTTTTGAGCAAGGGGGGGTGTTGAAGTTACCTCAGTATAAGCATACTCGGCATCCGGTTGTGTAATGATAGTCACAGTTGTAACCTAATCGAAACCTAATTGAGATTGTATTTAAGTAGTAACTTTGTTGTACCGTTTCTACTTTTTCTCATTCAGTTTCTTTTTGCTGTTTCAACTCTCATCGCACAACAGGTGTGCTCGACTCGTCTCTTCTCATCCCAACTCTCGTGTAGTGTCTAACACATCGTCGGTCTTTCAAAAAGGTGTGCTCGACTCGTCTCTTCTCATCCCAACTCTCGTGTAGTGTCTAACACATCGTCGGTCTTTCAAAAAGACTCGCTGCGCCTATCATTTCTATATTGGGCACCGTCCAGAACTTCAACTGTCTTCGAGGCCAACGAAGCCCTAATCCATTCCCTCAGGAGTGCCTGGACAGCTGTGTATTTCAGCTGGGGGCTGCTCACACCCTTTGGAATGTGGGTTCAGCAATCTTCACTCATCACTTCGGCAATCAGAGCGACTCCTCAGATTGTGGGGCGTGGCAATACCTCGAAGCCCTTGGTTTCCCTGCAGAAAAGGCAATCCAGAAGAAGGATTTTACGCTTATGATCAACCAGATGGAACGTGTTCTTGAGTCAATCTTATTCTACTGTCTACGGTATGTTCACTCTTTTCTGCTTTTCTACTTGGCATATGCCTTGTGTACTCACCCTGTCTTGTGTGCTTGGTCTAGAGTTATCATGAAGACAACTCGGAAACCCGTTCCTGAAACCCCAGAGGTTATCCCCACCAAAGAATGGAATGCAATAATCAACAACTGCTACGAGTTTTTTTGTACATCTGGGGCCCGAAAGGCGGCCGGGGCCCGTAAATGCCCTAAACTTCACAATACCTTGCTTATGTTACACGACTTTTCCAGCGTAGTGGAAGCCAGTCGAGCGATGAAAGCAGGTGATGTTGGGAGGCTCATGCTTGTGTGGAAGAAATGGTGCCTCATGAGCCAATCTCTTGTTGGGCTGACCAACTACTCATCGTACCTCCCCCGGATGGTCATACTTCTTACGGTCATCTTACCAGCTTCATTGAGGAAATACTTGCAACACAACTTACTATTCTCACCCACTGGAAGAAAGGATCATTTTGTAGCCAAAGACTTTTGGCTTGAAATACAAAATTCTCGGCTCAAATACTTCTACAACAACACAGGGAACGGAACCAAGATAGACCGTTTGCGAGATCTCTACTCCCTCAACATTCAAATTGTAAGGTTCTCATAACTTGATTGTACCAACCTGCACAATTGCCATGACTGATGACAACCGACCTGACCAATGACAACATCATTTTCCCTCCCAGTTGCACAGCCTGCTTCACTCCCTTGAGGGCGATTGCGGTCGCACACGACTTTATCAGTCTCATAAAAACCTCCTCACCCATCGCTCTATGGAAATGTTGAATTTGATGGGAAACAATCGCGACATCTTAGACTGCTTTGGCAAAGAGTGGAACAAAAACATCACGATGATAGCTAACACATATCTATGTGGAATTATCAAGATGCGAAAAACCATCCGGACAACCGACCCAAAGTTATCCAGATTCCGACGACATATGTTGGCCAATCAAGTCCGAGCTACTGTGGCTGAAGAGCACACCCAAGGAACATTAGATGGAGACCAAGACGATGGGAATAACTCAGAAGATATATGATCCCGCCTACCTTGTATCGGTGGAATCAGTCTTCTGCTTATCATTGAGATCCGCCCATGTCTGAGCCATAATCATTGCCACTTGTTCCTTCCTCTTCCGATCTCTTTCAAGTGATATTGCTTTCTCTCTTGCCTTCTCCTGTCGCTTCTCGGCTGCAATAGCCTTTTTAGTCTTTCGTTGAACGCAAATAGAAGCCTCCGCATTTCCATCAGCTGTGGCTAGAGTTTGAATATTGCCACCTGGAAATTGAGGTCCAGTTGTCTTGGCAGATTTTGGAGAGTGATGAGTGGAGTTTTGAGTGACCTGAGCATGTTTGAAGTCGATCACCAATGCCAGTAATTTCTCGAGCTGACCAGGAAAGCACTGACCCCCAATGAGTGATCGGATATCGTCGATTGTCGCGATATTGTCCAAGTTGTAAGCAATGGCTTCTGCCTCGTCGGTGTCAAACAGATCAGTCGAAGACAAGGGTCCGCCCGGTGGGATCAATCGATTGTACATCTTGGTCATCTCCATGATGAGATCTGTTTTCAGCGCATTTAAGATAACCAGTTCCTCATCGCGAAACTTTCGCTTGTGAGGCGACTGCCGCTTTGGTGGGAATTTATGGCTGATGTCTGGGATACTCGGTACATCAAACGTGTCGTCCAGAATTGCATCAAAATTGTCTTGATTAGCCAATACCAAGTGCTTAATCAGCTTGGCAGACTCGTAAACCGCACAGTTAGAGCATCGACATGGGGCAAAGCCTGCCTTGACTTCACGATCCTTCTCCTTGATGTAAGCTGGATCGTCTTCCCAGAGAGGTACATAACCAAGACTTATCCAATTCACACCACGATCATGGATGAAACATCAGTGAGTATCTCAAGTCTGACAAAACCCGGTAGACAAATTGCTTACAGGTTGTCCATGGAGAAAGCAATCCTAAGACAGACCGGCGTTATTGCCAGTGCATCAATGCGATCTTCATCCGACTGGGCAGCTCCTCTGGTGAATTGATTGACAGTGTTCTTCCCCGATCGCCTCGTTTTTTCCACAAACATCAATCCCAAGCCCATTCTTCCGTCTCGACCACACCTGCCTAGCATCTGTGCAATTTGAGCTGGGTCACCTCGGCCCATGTGGGCCACCATCCGAACACGCTTCCAATTCTGCCCCAAACCAAGGGCCATGGTCGCCGAAATGATGGGGAAAGTCCCATTCGCAAATTGATCGACACATCGAACCTTGTCTAAATCACCTGTACATGAATGGAATCGTCGAACACACGTGTTATGAGGGTCCATACAAGACAAGGGGGTCTCTCGAGCCCGGTCGACTACTTCCATTACAGTTAATGTTCGGTTGCGCGACCCACTATAGACTAGAGTTGGGACGAGGTCGGCATTCCCCACGTCATGAGCCGAAGGGAAGACCTTGATCAAATCAAGGGAAGAGGCGAGGGACTTTTCCATGGGGATGCGAATCAGACGGATTTCTGGCCGAGTCAGCTCCGCTTGTATAACATCGATATCTTCATCGTTAAGCTTGAGACTCTTCTTGATCGCTTCGATAGCCACAGGCCGGCAGGTGGCTGATAACAAAAGAATTGGCTTGTTGTTTCGAAAGAGCAGGTGGCCGCCCAGATTTCCGTAACAGGGTCGAAAAATCCCGATGTCCTGGAACCGAAGAAGGATTGCAGCTGCCTTCTTTCCATGACCGCTTTCGACGAGGCCCCATATGTAGATCATGTGAGCCTCATCAACAACAATTAACGCCAAACGATTCTGGAACTTCCTGCTGAAATAGACCGCCTCCCATATCTTGTTGTTGAGAAACGTCTCTGGACTCATGTATACAAACTGATACACACCATTTGAAATTTCGTTTGCGACTTCTTGGTTGAAATTCATCTTCGTTAGATTTATTGCCGTGAAGCCGGCTTGTACCTTCTCATAAACTTGATTATCCCCCAAAGAGTCCAAGGGGTTTAAAACTAGCACGACCGCTCGCTTGTTCTGAGGAATCATCTTGTAGTATAGTTCAGCAATTCGAGATTTCCCAAATCCGGTTCCGGCCAGAAGAAAAGTATTCCTTCCTCTGATTAGATTCAACACCGCATCGGTTTGCTGAGTCTTTGAGGGTTGACCGTAGGTTTTGAGTGAAACCTGTTCAATGTGAGTCTTCACATCAGCATCACGCTTTTCGTAGATCTTCTTATAGACATTGATGCCTGTCGGAGTCCATATCCTTTGGGGTTTGGGAATGATTGTGCGACTTGAGATTTGATTAAGCATCGGGTCGGAAGTTCGATGAAGTGATGCAGGCCTATGTGCGATGAAGGAGTGTTTTCTCTGAGATTGTTTGGACCCTTATAACCGAAATTATTGCTCTTTACCTGTGTGATCCAACAACTTACAGATTATCTACTTGTCAATAATGTGGCTGGCAATGTATCCAATACACCTGCCACGCTTCAAAACATAACTCATAATACAGGATTTCGGTCCCAGAGATTCATCAACTCCCGGGACAGCGCAAGCTTGTAGCTCTGGTGGAAATAATGAACTCTTTACATTACATTGAAGCTTAAAAGGTGGGGTATCTGCTTGTTTTCACCGCATTGTTGTGCGATGCATGAGTGGTTTGCAGTTTCAGTTTTTCTCCAGATTGATGCTAAAAGCCACAATAAGTTTCAAGTCCCCACGCGAGTAAGCGATGAAAACTCATAAGCCTCCCATTGGGAATGGGAGATGCTCCGCATCGGGGTGCTCTGCACCCCCAGTCCCGGGAGGCTTTGTTAAGTCAGGGATACATGAGCACAACACCTGGCAATTCTTTGTCACCGCTGAAGGTCAGCGATGCAGAGACTGCGAGTTGATGAGGACCATGTGACATCTTTTGCACAGAAATCTGTGAAACTGACTGATTTGTGACAGACGCCCTTGCACAGCTGCAGGGCCCAGCTGGACAGTTCGCGGGCCGGCCCATGATCATCCTTCCAAGGGTCAACCACCAGGTCAACAGGTGAGCAGTAGCACTGGGCAACCAAGCTCAATCAACCAACCACATCAAGCAAATTGAAGGAAAACGAGGAATGGCGATATCAAACTATTACGTAGGTTTGTTCCGGCTCAAAACAAGAATAGATAAATATGTCTTGACCTTAAATATTGATTTGCTGACAACTGGACTTTCCGATTTGCAGGAAGTCTTATCACTCCAATTCGACCCCAACTTAACGGCTGAAGAGATTCGGACGGCATACAAGAGGGCCTCTCTGGTGAGTTTGTATCTCTTCTTGCTCTCCAGCAGGCCAGGCGTCGATTAACAGTAGCAAAGCTAAAAAAATTATTTTTTTTGGCTACCTTAATGAAAGTTGACTCATCCGGATCGAAACCCGAATCTAAGCGAAGCTGAACGCCGTATCGCAACTGTGAGTGAACGTGGCCAGCTGTCACTCTTCCTGGACTCCTGATCAGCGGAGGCCATCAAACCCGTCAAATCATGGAATCTGACGGCCTGTGTGTGTGTGCTCAATCTCTATTTTACTTGGCGTTAATCACAGGAAAATTTCCAAAAAGTTGCAGATGCGTATTACATACTTTCAAATCCGGCCAGAAGAAAAGAATACGATCAGGTCTTCAGAGCTCAGCAACAGTCAAACTCCAACTCAGAGCATCAACATCAATCAACCGATAACCCCTTCAGCGATCCTTTTCAGTTCTTCAAAAACTTCCTGTTCAATAACAGTCAAGGCTCGGCGAACAATTCAACCCATCAAGGCCAAGGGAATCAATCTAGACCTGATCCAGAAGCTACTTTTGCCGATGTTTGTAAGTTACGGCTTTTGTTTAAACTATCTTCATCGCAGTCAAGACTGACAAACCTGAATCATGGGTACACATCAAATAATAACCACAACAAAACCAAAAGTTGAAGATCTGTTAAAACCAGAGATCGAACGAACTGCAGAGACGAAAACGACGAAATGGAAATACCTAGGCGCCGCATCTGGGGGTACACTAGGGTTTATTGTGGGCAATTTACCAGGTCTAGCGATCGGATCTCTTGCTGGAAATCGACTGGGTGCTATCAGAGACGCCAAAGGCAAATCGGTCTGCGAGGTCTTCTCCAGCTTAGAAACTAATCAAAAAACTTTGATCATCAAGGCTTTAGCTTTAAAAGTTCTCGGATACGCATTGACTTAAGTAGACGAAGCTATCGATCCAGGCAACAAGACACGCATCAGTATGACCAAATCGGTTCAATCATCCAATACCTTATCTTCTTCTTCTTCTCTCTCCTCCCTTTCTTCGATTTTGATCCGTGTAGCTTTTGGGAATCGTACAGCCTTTGGGGACTTTGATACCTCCTGCTTTTCATCCTTTCTCGATCAGATGTGGATGGTCGACTTGTTTCATGATCAAGATCCAATAGTTAGTCTATCTATTATAAACATGTTGTAGTTCATTATCCCCGGATTTCTTTCATGGTGCGGTGTAATTGTAGATACATGAACTGATTGGAATCATACTAGTGTAGCACATTCAACCTTAGTCTTCAATGACCAGGCAAGGAGGGACTTAGTTAGGTTTGGGGTGTCATGGGGTTACTCTCCATATGTTGCTCCACTTTTTACTGTTATGTTAATGTCATTTTATTGTCACACTTGCAAAAAAAAAACATCAAACCAATGATTCCACTGACATCCTAAGGCTTTATGGTTAAATGAGCTAGAAAATTCGTCAAGGTTCAGACATGATGAGCTGGTCTATGTGGTGGCACATGCAGTCTCCAGAGAATGCTGTGGTTAATAAATGTTTTTTGGGCCAGTTTCCCTCTGAAGATCTATACAGAATATGTGTTGAAGGTTCATGCGCAGTCCGCATTGGTTACCGCTTCAGTAAGATCCCGAGTCGAATTCGTTATGTTGCCGTATCGAGTTTACATAAGAGTGGGCCCAGAAGTTACCCAATTCTTTAACCGACGACCAGCCAGATGAGCAACAATCTCGAGCAGGGAGTTAGCCAGAGCAAGGACGACGCCAGGGCTACAAACACGATAGGCAGTAGCAGCACCACCCCCGAGCTGCATGGGCAGCAGAAGATACAGAATATCAAGACGGGAGACTCCAACAAGAAGAAGAGGTCGCCGAACTGGTTGCCACAGGAGGAGGAACAACTGGCCTGCTCGTGGTTGGTGGTCAGCCAACGACCCGAATTCATCACCAACCAAACCAGTGAGTCATTCTTTAGAGCCGTCGAACTCGACTTCAATCAACATAGCAAGCTCCATCACCGTGACCACGACCAAATCAGAATTCGGTAAGTTGAAGAAGCCATTCACGCTCTGATCCAGTGGTGCCGGAAAAAAAAAACTGATCTGTAGTGTACTCTGGAATCGTTTCGCTTCTCCTTCATTCAGCTGGGCTGCTCTCAATACATCTACCCTAAAGTTTTCGGCAATCTACAATGCACTGGAAAAGTCACCCCCTAAGGACAGTACGCCGGAGGACTGGATGGCCACTGCAAGAAAGATCTACTCTGAACAGAGTAGAGGTCACACCTTCAAAGATGAACTCGCTTGGAAGAAATTAAGACACGCTCCCAAATGGAAACAGGATAATAAAAAACTCAATTATCATCAGGTTTTGATGCCTGATCTATCCGTCGACGTCCATCAACAACACCAACATCAGCGCTTACAAGCCATTGGTCAACAAGAACAGACACTCAATCAGCATCATCAGCAGCTTCATCAACTACTCCAACAGCCTCAGGATCAACTGCCGCCACCGCCACAACAACAACAGCAGCAGCAGCAGCAGCAACATCAACAAGCAGAATGTTCAAGTACCTCTACGCAACATCATTCACCCAGGTCGGACTCGCCTTTAACTCAGACGATCGAAGGCAGCAGATCAAAACGATTAAGGCTAGACCAAGATCTCGAACGCTTGATTGCCCAAACAACCGGACATGATTCCAGCCACAGCATCCCAGTCATCCCTACCGATCCACACGAAAAACGACAGCCGGATCCATCCAACGAGAATAACGAGGATCAGGATCAGTTGGATCTCAACACGTTTGACTCGCTCGACGATCAGGGCCAACAGCGGCTGGTCGCACAGAACTTGCAGCTCGAACGCGAGCTCAAACGGAGCCAGATCGAAATGAATAACCTCAAGCTGCTCATGCAATCCGAGGCCGATTGTCCTGATCAGGAAAGCGTCATCCTGCTCAGACTCATGAAATCTAGATTGAAAAAACGGCTCCTGCTTGATCAAGAAAATTAGCAATACTCGCGACTCTCTCCTTCCGCCTTTCCCCCCCTTTGTCGTTCACCTGTTTGTTCCCTTCTTTTTTCGCTCCATTCGTCTTTCTATATCATCAGAGTTGATATCGGCCGCTGTACCATACTAAACAGGTCCAGCAATCAATCTAGAAACAAGTCCCTTCAAGCTCTTTTTTTTTTTTTAAATTGTCATAATCAAGGATTCATATGTGGTATACATTTTAAGAACAATTAGATCCAATTTTCTCAAAGTTGTAAAATTTAAAGATCCATGCATCTGGAAGATAACTTTTTTTTTGTTTTTGGAGTGACCTGATTTGTATGCATAACAAGTGATCAATCCAAGTTTACCACACACACGACACTCTACTCTGCGGTTACATCTCTGTATCTCTGTCCAGATGAAAAGCTTCCTCAGACTCGAAATCTGGCCTTTCTATTGTATGTAGGATGTTGAAAGAGATGCAAGGTTTGCTCTGCTTGTCCTTGAGGGTATCTCCAGCCCAGGGGGTAAATTGCAGGGTCCTTCAAAACCAAGTTTACCACCCTTCAAGAATTATAAGGGCATAGAGAATTCTGTCAGTTTGTAGTACCCCAGAAGAGTCTTGATTGATGTAGGAGAAATTCAAGCAAGCTGAGATCTTCAGACCATGATCAATGCTCAGGATCATCAGGCCTTTCTGAGAAAGAATGATTCAGTTAAAAAAAAGGGGGGAAATTCAGTTAAAAAAGGGGGAAGATGGGGAAGAAATTGGGATCTTGATTGGAGACCCTAATCCAAAATGTGAAAGACTCAAATCTGGGTCTCTGAAATTTGATAGATATGTACACCATTGGTGGCCTCTGTGTATCAAAATAAAACTGAAATGAAACTGAAATCGAATTAATGGAATTAATGGAATTAAGGTTGAGATGCTGAAATAGACTGCAATCTATCTCTGTGCAGTTTTCTTTTCTTTCCATGCGGCCCCAGTGAACCACTATGCTCACAAGGAGGTTGATTCCCCTCTACCTTACAAACTAGAGCAGTCTGATCCTCTAACTGCTCCACAAGACAGATGGCACTTTGACACCTGTTGGGGGGCACCTGACACACTTCAAAGCATTGCCTGCACAACAGAAGCCACCAGTCATGCAGGTAGAGGGTGCAGTTATGAGGAAGGTTTAGTACTGGAACCTCAACTTAAATGGCTGGGGGCTGGAAGTGTGAAGTCTGTGCTCTGGTGTGTGGCAGGTAACCCCCAGCAGGTGCCAGAGTCCCATCTATACTTCATACCTACTCTTTAAAAACTTCTAGAGCTGAAAAATATTGGTTGAACCTTGTTCTTTTAAAGGGACAGGAGAAAGAACCAAAACTGAATCAAACCCTGCATCCTCAGCATATGATGACATATCATTCAAATCAACAGAGCTTGAACCTGCAAATTTTCTTCATCAGAATCATTGATTCAATTTCTCTTTCAAAGATATTCTCATTCACTTGGATTACATATGATCAATGGCTCAGAGTTACCAGGAAATAGAAAGTCAATAATCAAACTTTGATTATATCTGCTCCTTTGATTCAAAGGATCAGATATAAGCCCCAGGGTTGAACTAGGGAAATTGAATAGATTGGCCTTGTAATTTCAAATCTATATAACCTACAAATTGCATTGCATTTATCTCTGATTTTCTACAGTCTTGTATGCATTGATAGGAGAAAATTGGCAAAAACATATGTGTAAGGGGTGATTGGGATTGATGAAATCAAATTGACCATTGTATCATCTAACCAATGAATCTTCTTTGTCTTGGACTGACACTGAATGGATTCCTCCAAGGTATGAATGCAGAGATCCTAAGACGTGGTATGGTTTCTTGACAAAATCTTCTATGAACGTGGGGATGCATAATCCTGTCTTGCATTTTTTTGATGAATTGGATGAAACCCCCTTCACTAGAAAAAAGGGTTGCCCATTTAACTGGGTTGAATTTCTGGTAATAGTATGCCATCATGGCAACAGCTGCCCTTGTCCTTGTTTCTTGGGCATTCAATATTTCTATATGAGATTTACTATCATTTTGATCTGTGCTTCTGATTGTTTTGCGGTTAAAACGGTTGAGTGACAGGAGAATTAATTTTTGTAGTTTGAAATCTTGACATTTCTCCATTTCTGGATTGTGTTCAGAAATTGATGATTCATGAAACTTGTGAGAAACATTGATGATTGAGTAAAATTCTGTTTGAAGGTATCTTTGCTCTTCCAAAGCCATTGGATCATCATGTGGGTGTCCTAGTGCCTCCATTACCATTTCATTCATGCCCCAAATTATTTGAAGAAGAATGTTCAGCTCATTCAAAATGATATCTGCATTTGGTTCTTGATGTAATTGATTAATTTCTTTGAAATTTACCAAAAAATCTTTCTTTAAATCTTGTATCTTGAACATAGAAAGTGTTGCATCAAAGTTGTTTGTTTTTTGAAGACACCTTTCATACATAATGTAAATTTTTGATATTATTTCCCATTCCCATCTTTTCCCCACAAAGTTTCTGTTTTCATTTGTTGGCAGATCCAAACAGTCAGTGATTCTCATCTTTTGGTTATCTTCTTTCAAGTCAGATGCATCCTTCAGAAACTTTTCTGGATGGATGAAGCTATTTCTTCCCAATTTCTTTGGCCATTTTAAATTTGATGAATCAATTCCTGTAAATGAAGTGGGTCTCCATGGAAGCAGCTCAAATGGATAAATCTTGTTCCACTTTCTTTGTGCCACAGTGTTTTTGCAATAAACAAAATTTGACTGAATTCCTGATACATGATTCAAAAATCCTGTGTCACTCTCAAATAATTTTTCCCACTTAATCAGATTAGTTTCCTTGTAGTAATGAGCCATCAAAGCAACTGCAGCTTTGGTCATATGGATCTGGGTTTGTGAGATGGCTCCATATGAAGCTGTAAACTCGGAAGATTGGAATCTTGAATCTTTGTATGTCCTTTGGAAAAAATAAACCAGATCATTATCATGTTTTGAAGTGATCAATGAAATGAGAATCTGTAATGGATATGGAATTACATGGCTAGTGTTACTCAATGTTTTTTCATTCCCATGTTCCAAGATAGGAGTAGATTTCAATGGCCATTTATCCTTATTTTCAAAAAGATCAAAGATCCATTCATAAAACAAGAAATGCTCTTCATGGTAAACTACATTTCCCAATGTTTTCAGCAATCTCATGTTGATAAACCAAAGAGTGTGGGAAAAATTCAACAAGTTTTCATCAATCTCTTTGGTATTGATACTTTCACCACTGATTTTATAGTGACCTTGGTACACAGATTCCAGAATTCTTTCCTTGATTTTAGCATTCATTTTGAGAATTCCTGGATTGTGTTCCAGCTTTGACAATTGATCATTTTCTTCGGCCATGTATTGTGTTGCTCCCGAAATCCATCCCCACAGAACTTGTTCATCTTTTTGGATCCCAGATGGTCCAGTGAGCTTTCTCTTCTTTTTCGTGGACTTATTTTCTTTTTTGATAAGTTTCTTCGCATCTAATTCTTGGGGAATTTCTTCATTGAAAGTTTTGGAATAATCATTTGGTGGCACATTTTCTTGTACTATCCTGGAAGATTGTGTTGTATCCAGACTGTGGCATGGGGGCATCCTAGAACTTTGTGCTTTGCATTTTCTGAATTTGGAATTTGGTAGATCACTTCTTTTTCCTCATCCAAGTCCTTAATTTTGTAGATGATTGAACATGAAATGAGGCAAAATCAAGGTGTAGTACTGAATGAGACAAAAATTGATCATATCAAAAATTTGAATAAACTTGAAACATATTGCAGAACAAAAGAAGAAGAATTTAGGTTTGACCTGGTTTAATTTCATCATGTTCACAAGAGATCTGGTCCAAATGTAATAGTTTTCTGGTGCAAAAACATGTATCCTTTCTCTTGTTAAGATTCAAATTCTTTGAATTAATTTGAGGAGCTAGTCTTTCTTTGGCTGATCAGCATATTCAATTCTGTAAGTTTTCACATGCACCAATGTTCATAGAAGCATGAGAGGTATAATCCCATGGAGGGAATTTTTATTCAGACTAACCATGTTTTTTGTCATTTTTATTTTCAGATATCTTCCCAGGTTGTAAGTTTGGAGAAGGGTTTGCAACCTTTTGTCTCTTATTTTTGGGATACAAATTCTCAGAATACAAGCCCAGGGCTAGATCAAGCTCTGGTTCTGAAATGCATCAACTCCATTGTGTTAAAAATCATGCCTGATATCTAGAAACATTTATCTGGTGCAGTGCATTAGCCTAGGAAATTTGCTTACTTGGGTCACTGCCATTCACATTGGAAGCACTTATTTCCTGAGGTTGGCAGTACATTCCATCAAAACCACTAGACTGATTGTGTTGCTCCAAATGGACATTTTCTTCCTGAGTCAAAAGCCCTACAGTTGGTAAGGTTTGAAATTTTGATTCAAGTGTGGCCCAAAGTTATACACACAGCATATCAAGTAAGCAGCAGCTACTAGCAGCTTCACCTAATGGAAAACAGAATTGGTACTTGCCCATGAAGTCAATGTCCCATCTTTTTGTCTGTGTTGATGAAATCGGCTCACAACCGCTTCGCAGAGACAGGTCTAGGTTCAAATTACCTACGGTAGGGTGTATATCCCTGATTGATCGTAAATCTTCACCATGATCTTTCAAAAGGAGATAGTCATATGCTCAACATATCAATATCGAGATGAAAATGCTAGATTAATACAAACCGCAATCTGAACCAAGGAGTTGGTGATTAAGGGTGTTCCTTCCGTCCAGTAGGAAAGCTTTGGTCTTGCTGGAAGGTATATTTGTAACACTTCCTGAATCAGCATGGACCGGTTGAAAATTCGCCTCCTTGACGCTATCAAGAATGAGCATATTGCAGGAGCGTCAGCAGGTGGCATATACTTCCTCTGCTCAACCTTCAAAACGGCTTAACTGATCGCTATACTCCCAGATGTTTGCCTGCTTTTGTGGACATGGTCCGAGCGGTGGTCGACCTGAGATGACTAAACCAAGGTGAAAAAGTGGAAGGAAAACGAGTGGTATTTGCACTACCTTTTTCATGATGGAGCTCAGTGCAAAGGATCTGTTATGCCAGCTTTGAAAAATGCTGACTGGGTGAATAAATTCCCCCTTTACTTAAAGGTATGACACTGGCTCACTTCTGCCAAGTGTCACAGCGGGATTCTGTAACAGCGGGTATTTCACAATAACAAACACGTTTCTTGAAGCTAGCGCACCCAAATATCTTGATGGTGCTGTGAAGCATTGGCTGTGCGCTTTGAATAGGACTCTGGGAATCCCCTATACTGAATAGGGTAGGGGGCACCGAGCAGGAGGGATTTTCAGGCCATACCAACAGGTTTGGTACCCAGAACCAGAATCAAACCAAACAACATGTTAATTACTTGGCCTTTGGAGATGATTGCTCTTGTGCATTTTGGGCAATTCAATCAAAATAATCTGTATGAACATGCCCCACTTCTTGATAGTATTTTGGGACAGCTTGTGTCAGCTAAGGCTTACATTCAAGAATTACAAGGTTGTGCTGTCTTAGCTGTCCTGGATGTGAAGAAAGAGGCCATGGTTCCATGGATAAGATGGTCCAGCATTGGCTGGTCTACTCTGCAAGTCAGGCAAAATGTCTGGGTTTGAATGGTCAATTATTCAATATAGAACTCAGCCAACATAAGTAGAATCAATTGAATTGGTTAATTGACATTCTTGATGAAGCAGCAAGCATAGCAGACTGCATGAATGAGATGTCCATAAATTGAGCCCAAGTTTCTCAAACTTGTCAATGGATCTGACCAAAAACTGGACAGTTTTTTATTTGAATCTTCACCAAATTTCTAACATTCTTCATTCAAAATGAAACTCTCATTTCCTTTGATTATCAGTGGAATACCTGACTTTGATTTCAACCAAATCATCTTGACAAGATTAAATTGAAATTTATATGTTAGTCATTCCATGTGCAAATATGTTTGAATCTCTATATTGTAGTGTTAGAACCCTAGGTAGATAGCATGTATGTATATGATTATCAACAAAACCTACTCCCTATTTAACCCCATCTTCATTTATTTCTTCTTCTTCATTGATTTCATCTCTCTTTTTTGATTCAATCAACCAAGTAGCGGGGTTCACATTTGAATTTTTTGCTTCTGACCCTACCTAAAATTTGTTCTGGTTGCTTTGTTTTATCATAAAATTGAGAACTTGCTGATCACCCTCTGGACACAACAACTCAACTGAGCAACACCTACATGTTGCTGAGGTGTTGTACAGGACCCAAAGAAAAGATCCTGAGGTCCTCAACTCAATCGGTCACATGCTGTTGAAGTGAGTTACAAAAAATGCTTAAAAAGCTTATTTTATGCGTTTCTGAGGCTCACTGAACTCACATCTGGAAAAATCCAAATGTGAACCCCGCTAGTAGATCCACATTTTTTGTTGTATTTATTCTATGATGTCATGAAGTAATTAAGCTGGCCAGCGACCGGACATGGATCAAGGAATTACTTCTTTGGGTTTTTCTTTTCTGTCTCAGAGCTGATCTGGATGGCACATTCCATTCTCACAGTTTTCTGTACTTGTTTTCTCATCTCTCATCAAAAGCATCACCCTTTCTCTCTTCATACATATCTCAATCAACATTCACCTTTTAGCACACCCCACCATGCTTACCTGAAACCATGATCAACATCTGATAATACAGGCCAGCTGAGCACTCCAATTTTGGACATTTCTCCAATTATTGGGACCTCAAAAGCCATGCCTATTTACATATGCAAATTAATTGAAAGTAAATCAATCATAAAAGTAACTACAATTACAATTTGCCATTTGATGGCAGAACGTACCAGAGGATTTAAGAGTAGGATAGTAAGTAGTAGTAACGATGAATTTTGGGATCCGATAGGTTATGTACAATCACGTTGAAAGTGAAAGAAACAAAGAAAAAAAAAGAAAAGAGACTATTTTTTTAGAAGTTTTTGTGTGCATAGATTGTTTGGTTATTTGATAGCGTGAGAGGAAGAAAGGATAGGAAAGGATGAAAGAAGCTCTTGCAAATCCAATTATTCAACAACAAGGAAATACAGAGCGAGGAACGAGAGGAGATGGAGAGGTAAGAAACTAAGAAAGATGGAAGTGCTAATTGGGCTCGAAAAGGTAAAGGTGTAGACGGGCGGACCTGCAGCGATAAACCAAGCCGAAAGTGTCTGAGGCTGTATAAGTCAAGACAACGAGCTCAATCAAGGCCAAGAGATCTATTTGATACGTTTTAATCTCTCGGTTTGGCCGTGAATACGGTTGTCGAGTCTGTCGGTTTTGGTGGACATGCCTTCCAATTTACGGTTTTGGGAGTCGATCTCTGTGCCCATGGTTTTGGACATCAAGTTCAAGCGAGAGGTCAGGCCAGAGATCTCGTTGAGGTTGTCGTCCAACTCATCCTCCAACTCGTCGTCACTTTCGGTGTTCTCGAATTGGTACCGAGCCTTATCGGCCAATCTAGACCGTAATCCTCCGGGTGCTCCTTTCGGTTGATTGGCACCCTTATCTAAAGCCTTCAAGGTTTCTGCGGTCCTCTCCCTAGATTCGTACTGTTGACGACGAACTTCTTCTCGCTCGGCCTTTTCCTCCTCGTGTCGTGATAATAATTTCTGCTCGTGTGCGTCTCGTTTGCCTTTCTTGTTGAAGGTGAACGTCGGTCTGAAGATCGAGCGATTCAAGGCAACGATCTCTTTCTGTTGGTCGTCAGCTCTGACGGCGTGGGCCTTTGCCATATCCAGATGATTCTCCGTGTTGGCCAATCGGTCTAAGTTTGAGGTAATCGAAGAAGGCCAATCATTCTGATGGTGAGCATGCAGGTAAATTAAAAGATAAAAACACAGATCGTAAAGACTAACCAGATTGTTCCCCAAGGCGGTTCATAGTATTACGGGCGGTTTCCTCGGCCTCTCTGGCAATTCTTAAGGCGTTACGAGTACTACTCAAGCTTTCCTGTTTGGTGAATTTGATCTGTTGCTTGATAGCCTCGACTTCTTCATCCTCATCATCGAGCTGATTTCCAGAGGATCCTGGTGGGCCATCCATGTCACGGTCGACGAATGATCTATTGGGTGGACGCGCGCCTTTGAAAAGCTCTTGTCGGTTGGCATCCGGGTTCCCAAATCTGTCGTTGGCCATCGGTCGACCTGAGGAGGATGGACCAGCCGGGTTCCTGCTCGAGGATAACAAGTTTCGGTTTACCGGGGGCGCTCGGGCCTTGGGCTCCTCTACAGGTGGGATTTCGACAGCTTTCTTGCGACTGAACATTGTTAACTTTTGCAGGTGGATGTGGAGTGGTCAAGATGTCTCTGAGTTGAAGCTTTGAGGGGTTGTCGATGGATGGATAAGAAGGGTTATTGGGATGATGTACTATGAAGAGGATGAGGTTATTATATTAAGCACTTGACCAAATCCAGCGACCATCAATCAATCAGCCACTGCCACCGTTGTCCGTGCCGGGTTGAGATGGGCTGGGGTGCGAGCAGAGGGGGCTTAGCCTCGATACTGCTTGCACAGCATCTCATCTTCAACTGCAGAGGATGCTTACGTAACCCCTTCCGGCACTCTGTCAATGATGTCAATCTCTTTCAACTGTAGTCACGTCCACCGTGAGCGTCAAAGCTGAATCAGTGTGGTTTCCTGTCGTGAACGCATTCTTCTTTCACCTGGTTAAGCCTGGCAACACCCACTGATCGTCATGATTAGTAGTGTACGTAGCACATTCAAGCAAGGATAATGGAAGCTTCGTTGCTACATATGTAGTAATTTAAATGTATTCATGGCTCCAAGAGCATCGTGGAAATTTGCAGCGATACGGAACGGTTGCCAGTGACAACCTTGATCAAGTGAAGAAAGAAAGCGGTCTGTTGAGTCTGTTAGGGCATGGAGGCCTGGCAAAGAAGAAATTGCTGGATACGAGTAAATAAAGATCTCCACAGCTTCGGGATTTGATGGCAGTTGGAAGCCATTGGGCTCGCTGTAAAACTGAGGAGAAACGTGTGCGTGTGTGGATTTACAATTGGTCCAGACATGACACGCCCGTAAGATTAGAACAGGAAAATTTGTGTAAATGGTTTAAATGATCCGAATCATACAAGATACGTACCCTAGTGCAATCACATGTGTGCGTGTGTGTCTACTACTGCCACCATCAGTCTTCAAGCACCCGGAAAGGGGAAAGCAACTCAAACGCAGGCAAAATTAGCTACTCAACCCTGAAGGCCCCTGGTCGGCGCTGTTTGGCCATGTGGGCAGAAGGTTGCACTGAGACACAAGAGTTTTTATTATCGGGAGTCAGTCAGTCATATCATGGGAAAGCTGGAGCACATCCTGTTCTTGATTTTGGCATCCTCCTCCAATCGACCATCCCTGCTCTCTGGAGCAACGTCAAATCAATCAATCCATGACTCACATCTCGATATATCAGTTTTGTGTTTATTATTGTGTGCGTGAAAGTAAAAGAAAACACATCTATGTATTACAATTTCCGAAATGGTGGACTGATTGGGTATATTATTCAAGACATGGTTAAGGTTCAATGTCCTGAATTTCGGATCGGGATTTGGGTTAGTCTTTTGAGATGAGATTTGACGGTCGGCAGGGGGACTTCGTTGCGGTGGAAGATTCCGGCAGCCAGGCCGGCCTCGACGTTTGTCTGCAGGAACAAGTCTTCGAAGTCTTGGGCAGAGCCGGCGCCAGAGCTAGCGATCACGGGAATCGAGACGTGTCTTCTGACGAGCTCGACCAGACGCAAATCGAAGCCAGACTTCGAGCCGTCCTTGTCGACCGAGTTCAAAAGGATCTCACCCGCCCCAAGAGCTTCGACTCCAGTGGCCAACTGAACAACATCTACTGGTCGACTTTCTCTTCCCCCCTTGATGGTACATTGGTACCAGCAAAATCGTTCCCCGTTTGGCCCCAGATCAGCCTTTAAGTTTTGCGAGTCAGACCCCGCTCCCAAAGCTGAAGAAGAAAGATCTACCACACAAGGTTGATGCTCTGCCGGTGCATCCTGGATACTTGAGACATAAACCCGTTTTGGATCGATGGAGACCACCACAGCTTGTCTCCCATATACCCTGGCAATTTCGGATATGCTACTCTTGGGGAGTTGTTTGCTTGTCAGATAAGATTCAACAGCGAGCACTGCATCGCCACCAATGCTGACTTTGTCGGCTCCAGCTCGAAAATAGGCAGTAGCAACTTCGAGGGCAGAGCGCGAGGTTCCGTCAGGCTCGACCGTATCTCTGATTCCACCTCCGACACAGAAGGGTACGAAGACCGTCTCGGCGGCCTTCTCGAGTACCGTGAGCATGGGCTGATCGTTAAGAGGACAAGATCGAAACGAGGTGATGTTGAGAAAAGTGATTTCGTCGGCCCCTTCGTCGTAGTACCGACGAGCGAGCTCAACCGGTTTGCCGAGATTCCGGACTTCGCCCTTGCTGCTCACGTCGCCTAGCTCGGAGCCGTTAGCCTCCCTAACATCATACTGATCTCCCTTCGTGACCACCAAGTCCCCGTTGTCGTTACTTCGGACGTCCAAACACGCAATGATTCGCTTGGTCAGTCCAGATCGAGTCATCAAAATTTGTGGATCCATTGGGGCTGGGATGGTGAGCGGGACATCAGAATAAGGAGTAATCAGGTCAGGTTCCGACAGCCATCCTTGCAGAAGTCGGAGACCCTCTGGCCCGGATTTTTCGGGATGAAATTGGGTAGCAAAAACATTGCCGCGTCTGATGCTGCTGACAAATACTTCATCTTCGTAACGGGTGAGTGTTTCTGTCCATCCATCCATGGCCTCAACGTTCGAGGCACGATATGAGTGAACGAAGTAGAATGCGGAATCTGAGTCGGAGCTTCCGCTTGAAGATCCACTGGGAGATGTGATTTTTAAAGAATTGTTCCAGCCCATGTGAGGAACTGCTTTGTTGGTCGATGAGAACTTCTGAACATGCGATGGGACGATTCCTAGTCCAGGGACTTGAGGGCTTTCTTCTGATGACAAGAACAGGGCCTGATTTGATAGTGAAACAAAGGAGGAAGAATATCGTTAGCATGGCCGTCAGGATGATCAACGAGTGTTATTATTGTAGAGAATTGTAAATCACCTGCATGCCAATACAAATGCCCATGTACGGCTTTCCCGATCGGATGTATTCGATCAACGGTTCAGCGTATCCTTTGGCTCGAAGGGCTTCCATGGCTGGTCCAAAAGCTCCAACGCCGGGGAAAATCAATTTCTGGGCACAGTATACGTTGGCAAAACGGAAGCAAAGAGTACAGTTTCTGGATATCAGCACCTCTCAATGGGCTGTTCTTTTGACCGAGGAAGGAGGGAGAAATCTTGCTAGGGAAAACTGAATATCTTAGGGAGAAAAAAAAGTCTTCACTCAACTGTTGCAGATTTGATATCATCAGGCGAGTTGACCCATTTGAACTGGAATCCTAGTCGGTTGATGGAGTTAGCTAAAGAGCGTACATTGCCAGCTCCGTAGTCGAGAAGATATCTGCAAGATTTTCCAATTCAAGTTGAATGTCATCGGTCTCTATCTCGAATTATCAAGTGAGAGAGGCCTGAGAAAACACTCACATCATCTTGAATGTTGGTTATTAGTTGGTCCTAATGATAGTCGATCCACCACGAGAGTTAGGAAACTTCTGATTGTACCAATCTTCCGTATGGGTGTTATCAGCTGTCCGGCCCGCCCGGGTGAGGATCGTCGGAGTTTCGTGACATGCCAGCTTGTGGGTTTGGAAGATCCCGGAAACAGATAACAGTGCGGCTGCGCCGGCGCATACAAACACACACGTTAACGTGCCGTACCGCTCCACCGGCGTTCCTGCGGCCGACAATTCAGCTCCATGAATGATATCAACAATCAACTTCTGGGGATTGGTGTGCTTAACTCGCCCCTAAATTGGGTCCCTATCCGGACCGACCACCCCAAACTTCTCATCACCCACCCCGGTTGCTTCTTGAACCTCTTCAACAACAAATTTGGGCTTCAAGTTACAAGGGATCAACTTTGTAAAACGGCAAATTAGAAAAACCAGAAGCCATTCAAAGTTGCTGACGGATCAAAAAAATAATTTGCGGCACCCACCTGATCAAGCGATTTCTGAAAGCCTCCAACTTCAATCTCAAAAGATCGCCGAGTACACCTCAGTTGCTGATAGCACAGATACTGGTTGCAGATGGCGACTGGCCTATTGTTCTCCTTGAAGGGCTTTTGAGATCAACGATTTCTCTTTCTTGGTTCTCAAAAGAGTGCATACATACACCTGACCATGTCACCCACCCCAACCTTGTTTTCAAAAACTGAAGCTAGAAAGCTCGTCAACAGATCTTGATAAGCCACCAATTTCTTTCTTGAAACCCCTGTGTGAGATCTTCATGCGCTAACACTCTGCTGAAAGAACTGGGGTTGATTGTGCTTTCGAAGAAGCCTCTTTGGATAGGAAAATCAGGCACGTTATCTTGGCCGAACTCGAGTACGTTTCCCAAAGTGCCATCAGTGTGAATGATTGCAATGATCCCATCAGTTGAAAAAAAAAGATCAACAAAGCCTTCTCCCACTTTAATTAGGGGGCCATTCTGTGAGTTATGTAACGGCCGGATGAACGGTTGGGCCGTCTTTGGCATGCGTGTGTATGGTGTATATGCGTCTCGGTCACTGGTGGTTAGGGAAGTTGCTGGGCTGAAATTTGACTGTAGTCATCTTGTGTGCTCAATGGACATCCATCGCCTGAAAGTTAGCTCAACACAGCAAATTGGGGTCTGGGCGCATGCTGAGTTGCTGTGAGGGACCTGACACCCTCGGGGGGATTTGATTCGTGAAGATTCGTGGAATTTGTCGGTGGAACTTGTGATTGAGGGATGGCTTTGTAATAATTGTGCGATGATCGATGAACTCATAACTTGACTGCAAGAAAGGGGGATCAGCGTGATGGACAGCACGGACGCATGATGGAAGAGCCGAAGAGAAGGAAAACCGACTGGAGAAGATGAAATCCATCCAAGCGGTCTCATCAGACAAACTTTGCTCAACCGTGAGGAGATGTATACAAACAGCAGACACATAAGAGACTCGTCACAGGTTATATTCCATATATCGTAAGCTTTATAAGCCACACATGAGGCAGTGGGAAGTGCATAAATGCTGTGCTCGTCGCACTGCACTCGGTCTCAGTGGAAATGAACATTAAAACAGCCGGAGACAACGTGGCCCGTTGTTTGGCCATGAACTCGCCAAGGGTCTGACTGATCTGAAAACGGATTTCCTGAGTCGCATAGCTCTTGGATATTTAAAGCAGTTCCTTCTCCTGGAGAACGAAGGACAGGGACCGATTAAGAAACGCATTTCATCATACACTTCTGACCATCTCGGAATCCTACGCGAGAGTCATCATGTCTTCTAACAAGTTGGTCTGGTTTCTTTCTCTTTCTGTTCTCCGGGCCCTTGGTAGTTGCTGCTTCTCGCCAGTTTGTCTCGTATCAAACCTCTAGCTTTGCCAGCGATTTGTCTGGGGTGAATGAACTACTTATGTGTTGGGCGGCGCTCGTATTAAGACTGTGTATAACTTATCGAGCTGGTATCGTCTACATATATGTAGTAGAACCCTATTTTCTTGATCTTTTGATGGCTCTGCTTGCATCATGATTTGAAAAGCTCGAAGATAAACTAACTGACCGTTTGTTCTCTTCATACCCGTTCCGTTGACTTCCAACGTTACTCAACTGCTTTCCAGAGTTGACCTCAAGAACATCCAAGGCGATATCATTATCGGTTTACAGAAACGAGTTGAAGCCTTCTGGTTTTGCACCCTAAAATCTGAATCCAACTCTGTCGAAGGTTTTCGTAGAAACCTGAAAGACTCTTTACTTCCGTTGATTACCACCACTCAAGACGTACTCGACACACAAAAAAAGATCAATGATCATAAACGAAATAAGAGATCCGAGGGGGGGAACGACTTGTTACCCATCACCCAGGTCAACCTCGGATTCAGCTTTGCCGGATTGAAAAAATTGGGACTTAAGCTCGAAGAGATCCCAACCGGTGGCGACGGAGTCTTCTCGAAGGGCCAAAAGGTTGATGCGGTCGATAACTTGGGCGACCCCGTCGACCCAAAGACGAAAAAGTTGAAGACCTGGTCTAAAGACTTTTTGCATGAAGCCAACTCGATCGATTTCGTCATCTTGATCACGGCTCCGGACTGCAAGTTGTTGGATCAAAAACTAGACCAGCTTCGAAAGAATTTGAGCGGGTTTTTGGCCTCTTCGTTTGTTCGCAAGGGTAATGTTAGACCCGGTAATGAGGTCGGGCATGAGCACTTTGGGTTCTTAGTTGAGTGTCTTTCCTGCTTTTTTTACCCTCATGAGTTTTGATATTGTCCACAAGCGGCAAATTGAGTCAATCAACCAATTACCTATACTGATAATGAACAAACCAATCTTCAAAATTTCAAAAGGACGGGATTTCCACGCCAACGATCGAAAATATTAATGCCCAACCAGGTGATAAGAAGAGTGGAATAGTTAAACCGGATGTGGTTTTACTCGGCCAACCTGCTTCGGGTGGGAATACCAATAACTTGGATCCCAAGCAGGCTTGGATTAAAGATGGCTCGTTTATGGCTTTCAGAGAGCTCCAACAACTCGTACCAGAGTTTCAATCCTTCTGCGACGAGTCTGCCAAAAAGCTTCAAAACCCTAATGTGTCTGGCGACTTCATCGGGGCTAGAATTGTTGGCAGATGGAAATCAGGTGAGAGCTTTCACTTGGTCTTTCCATTTTCAACTCAAGAAACACGATAAATGTTTAGCGCTTCTTATTGAATAACCTCCATCCTTGTCTTGTTTTAGGTGCCCCACTTACCTTGACCCCAGTCCAAGATAAACCGGAACTGAATCGAGCACAGGACTTCGATTATTCCGATGAATTGAAACAAGAACGTTGTCCCTACGCTGCTCACATAAGGTATCGGCTCAAATTTATGAACCAAAAGGATACCAAGTCCAATTGTAATTGAAATTATTATTATTATTATTTTTGCTGTCTCCTAGAAAAACTAACCCGCGTAATGGCATAGCTGGTGCGGATCCCAACACGGCCGTCTTGCCTCATCTTATGATCAGAAACGGCATCCCTTATGGTAAGTCCTGGGACAGCTCTTGGAATTGCATTTATCTCCATGTTTGGATTTTAATTTCGCGTGGCCTGAAGAGGATTGACCATGGATGTGTTACATTCATTAGGGCCTGAGCTTACCGAGGAAGAAAAGAAAGCGAAGAAAACGAAAGAGAATCGTGGTCTATTATTTGTTTCTTATCAAAGCCAAATCGAAAGTGGATTCCAATTTGTTCAGAAGGTAACTAACCGTTCACTTAAGTCTCTCTTTGAATCTTGATTTTTTTTGAAAAGGACTGAGATCAGATGAAACTTCTGACTCTTTGTTGCCTCAATCGATTTTTTCGATCATCACAGCTTTGGTGCAACAACACCGATTTTCCGGCTAAAACTCCGGCTAAAGTGACTCCCGGGTTCGATTTGTTAATCGGACAAACCGCTGATGAAAAGCCTCGAGTAGCTCAAAATATCAACCCATTGGTGAGGACGATATCATAGTTCAATGGCTCAATGGAGGTTTGACAAATCGAGCCCTGTTTTGTGCATGTTTCGTTTGACAGGGAATTGCGGGCACTACCGATCCCAACAACATAGTGACCGCCCCGGCACATTTCATCGTTCCCCTTGGGTGAGTATCGGCTGCATTCTCAGAGAGTAGGAAATGAGACTAAACCTAAACATGACCTTTTACGTTACGTTATCCCATCTTTTAAATTCAACCCCAGTGGAGAATATTTCCTTATGCCTTCCATCAAAGCCATCAACGAAAAGCTTGGCCTTTCGTCAAGATCTGACCTATAAATCGTTCCTCGTTTTTCTCAGTCGAACAGAGAAGCGTATGTGGTTGAAGAAAGTATGAAATGACTTGGCAAAAATTTGTTTGAAAGAAAGCTTCAAATTAGCAATATCAAATAGCTGTATATGTTACCTGTATTTCTTTAACCGGTCCGCAACAATACTATCCTTGTGGTCTATTTGCATGTTATAAGTTTGAAAGGCTTGTTTTTTCCCCCTTTGATGCCTTCTGATCCAGAGTTAACATTAAAATACACAAATGAAAGCATTTATTGATGGCTGTAGGTTGATTTTCTATGTTGGTTGCACCAACAGCAGCCCCTGATTTACCATGAATTTTTATTGTGTGCTGAGACTAGTGATCAAAAAACAAATAGATTTATGAGCAAGAAGTGGATGCTACTGGTATGTGTTCTGTGTTGGTTGCACCAACTGGCAACAGCAGCCTCTGATTTTTAACATGCATGTTGACCATGTGTTTTTCAAGCCTTTTCTTCAAAATAAAGTCTGTTCCTATCCCACAGGTGTGTTCTGAAGAAGTAAGAAGTGTCCAGAACCCAGCTGTGGGATAGGCACAGACTTCATTTTGAAGAAAAGGCTTGAAAAACACATGGTCAACATGCATGTTAAAATTCAGAGGCTGATGTTGGTGCAACTGTACCAATTTATAGTATACTGTTTGATTCCTAAAGACAAAAGACCAGAACTAGAATTGAAACAAAAGGATTAGACAAGAGACAATCAAAGAAACAAGGAGAATGAGAAAAATGATAAATGATAGACCAACCCTGAAGTAGATAAATTTTTAATGCAAAACATACAACTGAATAGAATGATACAAGAGACTTGTAGAGAGAAACTGAGAAACACAATGAAAGATCAGTTGATTAAAATACAAAGAAACAAGAGTAGAAAAATAAACAAACCCTATGGATATAAGAAGAATTTAGTAAGTGTTAGATATCAAAAGAAGAACAAAGATCTAAGAAAAGATAGACCAGTATTTAAACAAAAAAGAAGTGATTAGTATTAGTGCAAAGAGATTGAGGTGAGAAGAAACAAATAAGAAATGCTGAGAGTGCATTCCTCACCAAGTTGGAAGCTAGAAAGGCTGTCCAAGTTGAAGCTTCACCAAGACTTGATGGTGGTTGAGAAAGGTGGGCCAAGTTTGTTGTTGATCTTGATGAGTTGAGTGTTTTTGGACAAGAAAGGAAAGGTTGGGATTGGGGCGATGATAATCGCACTCCTCCCCCCTCCCCGCACGCCCACGCCCCCACCCCTCTAAAAGGGGCGTGCAATCCTCCTGGAGGGGCGGGTTTGATCGCACGCCCCTCGGAAGGCTGAAGCGTGTTTTTTCAATAAAACACGCTTCCGAGCATCATCGTAGTGTATCCCTTTCCTTTCCTCATCGTGCTATTCCATTTTTTTCATCCATCGCTACGCTGATAGACGTATCTAGGCTGGGCCTCAAAATTGTCACTAACCATCACTGATAATGAGGGCTGAGAGTAATGGTCTACAAAGAGAAAATACAGGATCTGTACCCTGAGACAGGTCTCCATAACTTACAAGGATGCTGGGGGTTATATTGTATATTGCTAATTCAGCACAAAGTCTCCTCGGTCGAGGAGGCTCCTTGGCGATCAGGAATGCATGTGGCCTAGTACTTGTGGAGGAGTCTCCTTGGAGAGCAAGTATGCAACCTGGTCACTAAGGAGGCCTGTCGGCGAGCCGTCGAAATTGTCTGGCTACCGGGTGATTGATCATCGCCCGGCCCCGGTCAATGAAGAATCGGATGGACCGTCGATGCTGAATCTTCTGTGGCCGTATTGCCCTTGTGGATTGCTTAGTGGTGGTGGGGCCTGGGGGGTCAAGGCAGTGCAGCATCCACCCTCCAGGCCGATGTCACTTGGACACAAGGCGATGACAATTTGTCTTCAGTGTTGCTGGCCGTTCCCCCGAGGGCAAGATAATCTTGCTCTTGGAAGAAGTTGTTCATTGAATTATTAAAATAGTCTTCCATCGGCTGCTGCTGGCTGAATCTTATTGAAGGCCTCCATTCCAGATTCGGCTTTGACAACGGTTAGTACAAGTGCATCGTCCACCAAAGGTACAGTCCCAATGGCCGAGAGGAATCCCTCCTGGCCGTCGGGATTGGACAGTCTCGACGGCCGGGAGGTTTCCTCCCAACCGTCAACTGTGGGCCAGGAGGTTTCTCCCCCTCCTGGCCGGATGTACATTTCCTATGGCCATGGAGATTGTAGTCTCCATGGCCATAGGAAGGCTGATGTAAGCAAAACACTCCAGAGTGTCTTGCTTACATCAGCCTAATTTAGGGTCGTGCAGCCAGTCCCGCCCAAAAGGGAGGGGCGGGAATTGTTGCGGTTCTTGGCTGGCGTGCAGAAGAACCCGCCCCTCCTGGAGGGGCAGGCTCTTCTGCACGCCCCTCAGAAGCATGTTTTATTGAAAAAACACGCTTCCAAGGGGCGTGCAATCCCACCCGCCCCTCCAAGGGGCGTGGGCATGCGGGGAGGGGGGAGGAGTGCAATTATCATCGCCCTTGGGATTGATCAGCAAAAATGAGAGCATCTTGGGGAAGGTGTAGGAGAGCTGGGATTGACAAGAGTAAGGAGGGTGAGTGATCCTCTTTCTAGATTAGGTTACATTTGGTGAGACACAGTGTTGTTTCACAGACATATCATGACTGATGATTCCGCGTGAACTGTTGATGCATGCAGGCCACGTCATTTTGAGCTTCAGTCTCAACAGAAACCAACATAGAACACATACCAGTAGCATCCTTTTCTTGCTCATGAAACTATCTGTTTTTCTTGCTCGGGCCCAGAGACTCTGTGAACAAAAAAAGAAACTTCAAAACAATCTTGTGCATTGTGCTTGAAAACAACATTGTTTTCCAGATTTACATATAATCATCTCAGATCTTATATACTTACAGATCAATGATATTCTACAGGACATCTACCAAGTGAAATACTCTCCTTTAGTTACCTCAAAATTATTCAAATAATCTACAAAGAAAAAAACCTATCCATTTATCCTACAAATAGTAGTTGTTATATGATTCTGTTAAATTCATTGTACTATGCACACTTGACCTACACCAATTAGCTTTCAGTTCATCAGTAAAAAAATTGCAATAAAAAAATGAAGGTGTGCTATCTGTCAGAATAGTCCCCTAGGGGATGAGACCGCAACCAAGTGTTGCAGGAAGTCTACATACAGCCAAACAAAACAATGTAAGCCATGAGACTCTACAGCCAGAATATCCAAGAGATGAAACTCACCTCAGCCATACTGTTTCAGATCCAAGCAATGATACCCGCAACCAAAGGACTTGGGAACGAAGCCATCCCAGACAAGTCACCAAGGGCACCGGGGATCAAGCAACACATGGAAGGAACCACGAGGAGAAATTGTGAGTATTTAACCAGCCCTTTCATCAGGCAGATCAGACAGCAGAACTAATCGTTTGTCTCCGCCCTCAGATCAATAGCACACAGAATAAGCAATCCACCTGGAACACAACTACTCGCCCGTATAGAATCAGACAGGAACAAGTAAGTTGGATTCAGCATATGTGCGCCGATCAGCAGATTGGTCATTAGCTAACCTGATTAATCGGATCTTAGAACACAATCCGAACCAGGCGACCATATCTGGCATCAATAGGATAAGGACAAGCTATCCGAAGACAGGCACATAAAGTGAATAAAAAACTCCTTCACCATGTGGAACGAGACAAGCAGATACTAACTCCCTGCTTGCATCAAACTGTCAAACAGCCGTCAATGATCACCTTCTACCCTTCTTCTCATTCATCTCACATCTCACTCTTAACTCAGCTATCACCCACATCCCAAACCACACTGCATCAGAAATTCCAATCAGCAAAAAGCAAAGCCAAGAAGCATGTCAATTGATTCTGCTCTTAGGTAAAATTCTTTCATTTCTTGTCTTTAGTTGATCACACAATTTGTACATAGCAATAGCAAGATAGAACAAGAAGTCTAATGGAAATAAATCACTCTTAGTTGTTTAAAATCTTACACTATCAACAGCCGGGAGGAATCCTCCCAACCATTGGGGGCTCTTTTTGGTTTGCCGACCCCCAAAACCCAGTGGGTCTTGAGGCATTGACCCCCAACACCTCTAGGGGTATGTCTTTTTTATTTAAATATTTTTGAGTGGGAGTCAAATCTCCAATTGATGGGAGTCAATTAGCCAAGCCCCAACATTTTTTTGGTTTTATTTATTTTCACTCTTTTCATGTGATTTACTTTATTTCTGTCTATTCAAATTTCACTGAAAAAAACAGGTTGGTCATTGCTTGGATAAGAGCATCTTTACCGTTTGAGCTAAAAGCAAGTGATTTAAGCTTGCAGCTATCACTAAGCTACAATAGCCACATTGATTCAGTTGCACTGGTGTGCTTGAGGTTAAAGTTGTGATGGATGGTTTGAAGTCGCCACTGTCAAAGGGGTTGTATCGGTGTGGAACTACTCAACCAGGGAGATAGAGCTTGGAGGGGATATAGACAACTACACTAGTACTAATGTAAGTTGAGACTACAGGTGCTGATGAGGCTGACCTCCCGTACAATGCTAATGGGAAGAGTGTAACACTAAGAAAAAGAAGAAGAGAGGTGTGGCTGATTTCTACTTTATCTTAGACTACCATTACTGATGAGCTTGTGTATGTAGTACCTACTGAGGTGAGAGGAGGAGGAGTAATGAGGTGTGATGGGATAATACTGGCAAGGGTGTAACACTGGAAAAGAGGAATGGCACTGGCAAATGGGATAATCTGGCAAATGGGGATTTATAACTGGCAATTGAGGATTTATAATTGGCAAGGGGGGGATATATAACTGGCAAATATAACTGGCAATGATATCTGATGAGGATATAAGTATGCTTTCTAAGACTATGGTTAGAGGGTACATACGAAAACTGGCATAAGGGGGAAAATACATGAGGAGGAAGAAAGAGTATATATGTGTACAACATGTACATACAACAGCAAAGAACCATGGCTGGGGAAATCCTGGCTATGGGTAATGTAAATCTTAAACAGTAATGAGGGATGAGAAATAATGTAACCTAGAGAAAGATGTTCTGTGTATACAAGTGCTAATCATAGATGGAAAGTCAAAGCTGCGTGAAGAGAAATATGTATATGATGTAGTGCAGATAAGATGATTTACTATGATGAAAGAGTGATGCTACATAGATACTGTAACTAGATAATGTGTAATGTATATGTACTGTATGTACACAGTAATGTACTGTTCTGTAACTATGAATATACTGAAGAGATGATAACTAGAGAACTATAAGAGCTACTGAAAAGCTGTAAGAGGTGACTAGAGGTGAAATGATGTGTAGAATCTGAATATGAAATAATACTGGGAAGAATATTTGTAGAAATTATGTGAAAAATGAGGATACATGGAAAGGTATGGACATACCACATTGGTTACAACCCCCCACGGTAAGCTGGTCAGTCAGAAGCGGCCGATAAAAGATTGGTCTCCTTGACCAATTTTGTATGGGGGGGTTGATTTTTACAACCCTTGTTTTACATGGCTTATGCCTTGTAAAAGAGATCCAATGTGAAAATTTCTTTTGCCTTCAGTGATTCATAATTTTCCGAGGATCCCGCCATTTGACCCTACCTTGTAAAAAAAACTGCAAAAGATCAGTTGTAAATTTCACAGCTTGGCCAATGAAGCGTAATTTTACAACGGAATCTCATACAATGGTAAGCCTCGCAAAATAAAAGTGATGTTAAAAAGAACCTCAGGCCCAAAAGCACCAGAATTTCCAAGGATGCTTCACAAGGGATGTATTTTTTCATTCGCTAGCAACGTAAAAACGCCCATGGAGGGAGCCCCATGAGATTTTTACAAGGCATCAAGACTTTTACAAGGGAAACGATGCTATCACAAAAAAAAATATAAAAGCAAAGAAAAGACACCCGTTTGTGTGCCTATCCTCCCATGGTCAATTTTGCAAGGCTTTTCGGGTACTTGCTCGAGTGGCTGAGCGTGTTGGCTTGATCACCTTTGCTTTTGCAATGCTAGTTTTACTCTTTGACTCTCCAACCTTCTTAACCTCGCATTTGTCCGGCTGTTTTTGATTGGCATTTTTCAGCTTGGTGTGAGTATTATAGCTTGTTCAGTCGGCTGTCTTGGGTCGCTAGGCTTCAAAACTTTCAATCGGATCTTGAATTCGCCGGACGCTTTGCATTTAACATCCTCCAGGCCGGACACTTCGCGTTTAAGATCTTCAGGGGGGTCTGCCGCAAATGAGGCACTAGGATCTCCTTTTGGAACTGTGGAACCCGCCAACATTGCTGTGCTTGTATATTATGTCGCGGGAAGTAGTCGATTTGGTGAGAGGATCAGGAGCATACCCAGATGGGCAAATGGCATTGTTCCTGGAGCGCCCTTGCTATCCTGGGTGATCTTCGCAATGCTATCTTCTACAAATTTCTCCTCGCTGCGATTCCAAGGTCTTGAGTAAAACACCCAGCTGGTGTGGGCAGCACGTCCAGCAATGGTCGTATGATTGGGACTGATCAGCCGCGCATGTCAAGCTGAGATGTGACCTTGAGCTCGCTGCTCCCATCTGACATGGTCAACCCTAAGGATACTGAATAAAAAATATATGGTGACAGTAGGGAGGACTTTAGCTGGCTATGTAGTTAAGCAAAAACCGGGTTTAAATGAGGTAAATGGAGGGGGAGGGGAGAAAACGGAGGGATTATACCACAGATGATTCCAGCCCTACCGGTCGATGAGGCTTAGCCTCCTCATCGACTGGAAGGAATCCCTTCCAATCGATGAGGAAGCTGTACCTCATCGACAGGACGGAATCTCTTCCAGTCGATGAGGTTGGGGGGTTCAAAGCAAGGGCTTCATCGACCGGAAGGACTCTCCTCCGGTCGATGAGGAAGCTAAACCTCATTGACCGGAAGGGGTTCCTTCCGGTCAAGTGGGAGGGAGTGACTCCCAAACTCCCTCATACATGAGGGGTGGTTTGGGGAGTCGACTCCCAAAAAAAAAAAAAAAAAAAAAAAAATTGAAATTGAAATTGGGCGGACGACTCCCAGAATCCGCCCACACTTTAGAAGACGACTCCCAACGGACGTCCACTGACGGTCGTTGGGAGTCGTTGGCGAAAAAACGGGAGTCGTTTTTCCGAGTCCCTATTTAATAATTCTATAATTAACTGTGAAATCCCCTTGAGCATTGTACATATAATATCACTAGGATTTCACAGAAATAGCTTTAGAGTGAAGTATTAAAACAATATTTATTCTTATACATTATGTACATATTTTATAATACATAAATTAATAACATATGTGTAAGAATTAGCTAATAGAAGCGTGAAATGGATGAGGAATAAGCTATATACATTTATCTGAAGCTTACCCATCCTTGATCACATCATCAGGGCATCAGATTGCATCATAAACCTCTTGGATGGCGTCATCAGGACCCTTTTGTGCTCTAATTCAAAGCTTGCATAATTCAAAGTAGCCTACATGGGAAAGGAGCCCAAATTCTACATGCAAGACTGAATTATGCATGAAGGACATGCATTTCTCATGATCACAAGCTTGCATAAGCAGAGTTACACGTATGCAACCAACTCTACAATTGCACAGCCCCTGCACAGTAACTGTAGCCTTTTCAATTACGCAAGAAATAGGCCACAAAACTCAATTATGCATGTATGATCTCATGTCCTAGGACGTTCCACCCATGCATAGCACTGCACAGCTGCAGCTCCCATCCTTACACAAAATTGTAGAGCTGCTAAGAAGCTTCCTAGTGCCCTGAGGGCCTCTCCTCTTCCCCTAAGCCCCCTGTAGAATATTTAAGGAGCCCAGATTCCTACCTTTTCCCCCCAGGAAATTCTAGTAGCATCAAACCAACACTTGTACAGTGATTATTAGTGATTTAACCCACCAATAACATTACAAACCTGCTACCTTAGACCTAAATAGATTTACTTTGCTCAAATTCAAGGCATTTATACTTATCTCTATTGCATAAAGAATTATCCCCCAGGTTAAACAATTCTGGTCCTTAAGTGTTGATACACTTATTAATCTGAATTGTTGTTAAAAGACTTATCCCAAGTGAGTTGAAGAAGTCCTCACCATGGAAGCCTATTAATCCATGCAAGAGGATTGATCCGGATGCCCAATTGAATAATTGGATGAGTCAGCAGTAGAAGTACCATTCCTCACTGACTCCTCCCTGTTTCTTTTACAGGTTGAGGGATTTAACCACAAATAAACCTTCTCAATTACTCTTCTTGTTAACACTCAGAGCACAACCACTCAGGTTAGTAGCATAGAGTAGAGATGGGCGCATTGAATCCGGATATCCGCGCGGATGCGGATATCCGCTCACAATTTCAGCGGAAATACACATCCGCATCCGCCGGCGGATACCCCCCAGCGTTGGCGGGTATCCGCGCGGATACCCCGCCCTCTGAATGGGCGGCGAGGCTCTTCCAGGAGGGTTTTTTTTTTAAAAAAAAAGAAGAAAAAAAAGAGAAAAAAAAAAGAAAAAAAAACCAGATGTGATGAACGATCTCCGGTCAGTTGACCCTGCATTATGTCTCGTTTATGTTACTCCTGAGAGGGTACTTGTCCATTTTTTTCACCCTCATTGACTGCCAAGACCAAGATGGGGGCCGAAAAAACCCCACCCGATGACTTACCGGTTTTCTCATGTTAGGTTTTTGTGTTTTTTTTTTTTTTGGTTTGATGATCTAGATCATGAGAAGCTCGGTGTTGTCTAACATCCTAACTGACCTCAAAAATCGCAAGTTGTTGGCTCGCTTTGTTTTTGATGAGGCTCACTGTGTAAGTCAATGGGGACACGATTTTCGTAAGTTGGTAGAATCAATCCACACCAACTTTCTGCTTCTTCTTTTGGAGCTTGGCAAAACTTTCTCATTCTGAAAAAAGCGGAAGCTTTTCCCTTTTTCCTGGAAAACAAAAAATCGATGTAGCCTAATTGGTTTTTTTTTATTGGTTTTTAGGTCCCGATTATAAGGGCATCGGACCGATGCTTCGTATAGAGTTCAAGAATATTCCATTTATCGCCTTGACGGCAACAGCAAACCACAGGGTTCAACAGGACGTGACGTCGAACCTGAAGATCACCGGTTGTCGGGTCTTGACCCAGTCCTTCAACCGAATCAACCTGAGATATGAGGTTCGACCCAAGACGAAGGACGTGCTGAATGACATCATTCAGATCATCACTGTCGATCATAAAGGTGAAATTGGGATCATCTATTGTCTTTCAAAGAAGCAGTTTGAAGAGGTTGCCACACACCTCTCTGCCAAGAACCGGATAAAAGCCCATCACTACCATGCTGTATGCATTTCGTTTTATTGCGTATCCCACGCTAGTAATACCTTTACCAATATTTATTGAGTTGTCCCATATTTTAATTCAACTTTACTGAAAAATAGGGAATGTCCAAAGACGATCGGTACCAGCTCGTCGGGAGGGGTTCCTCCCGACGAGCTGGTTTTAAACCAGCTCGCTGGGAGGAAGCGCTCCCAGCGAGTTGGCCTGTGGACGCTCGCCGGGAGGAACCCCTCGCGACGAGCTGGTTTAAAAACCACGGGAGGGATTCCTCCCGGCGGTGTGGCCTCTTGGCACCGGGTATCCCAAGGGATACCCGGATACCCGCCAGTATTTCAGGGGGAAGGGTGCATCCGCACCCCAATCCGCACCCGCTGGCAGGTATCCGCTGGCACTGGCGGGTATCCGCCAGCGGATAGCGGATATCCGCGGCAGATTATCCGCGACCATCTCTAGCATAGAGGCTGACAATTTCTCAAAATTTATCTTGCTCAATATTTTATACTATCAAAATTGACCATAACTAGAAGCTAGTCTTTGGCATGAAAGTGAAGAATTTCAACACCAGATCTCTCCAGTTGTTCCCAGTTTTTGTGTAGAGGATGGAGAAAATGCCCATTTTTGAAAATTGAACCCTACGGTACAGGCCCTAAGAGTTTTCGGGTCTAGATCGACTTCTGGGAGGGTCCCAGATCCGAAGGGAAGTCCTCCATTGGTGAGCAGCTCCCCTTGAGAAGCAAGATCCCACGATAAAATTTAACCAAGATTATGCATCAGCAAGCAAAACCTGCTTTACAACATTCAGGCAAAACTTGTTTTTGGGTAAGAAACGTGAAACCCCCCTTAATTGACTTCTAAAGTGGAGTTGGAATTGGAGTTTCCAAGAGTCCCAAAAAAAAATGTGGGTGGAAATCCTGGCTGTGTAGCCACAAAATTTGATCTAACTTAAGGGAAGAGGAAGGCTTTTTTGCTTGGAAGGGTTTGCAGTCAAACTTTTCGCTACAACCTCAGTCAAAATCCCTTCTGGATTGCCACTCCTGGGCTTCTTGTATCACTGCCACACATTTGAGTCACCTCGATGCTCATAAAAATTGATGAATCAGACTTCGTTCCACTTAAAACTTTCATCGACAACCCTTTGTGTATTCAAAGGGTTTGGACCTTTAAAAAGCGAAATAAATTATCAGAAGTATTAGTATTACGAACATCAGCAGTGGATGTCAAGCTATGTCAAGTTTCAACCAATGCAAATGTGTAGCGAGCGGGAAGATAAGACAGGAAGGCCGCCTGTCGCAGATCGGAAAGCGAAGCAAACAACGCGCGAAAATCAGAAACCCTGTTTCTGGACTGAGCACAAAACATTGAATACCTTATCTTCTACAGTAGTTCCTCTTTTGAGTAAAAGCCAGCGGAAGGCGGATGGATACTCTTGCGAAGGATCACTGAGTCGCTGTAAGCGTTGTTTAGCCGAACTCGCGAAATGCCGCTAATGAAGAGGTTCTGACTTCTAGCAGTCTCATCGCAAAAGGCAGCTTGCTCAATGGCTCAACAGCAAACCTGGTCTTCCGATAGGAGAGACATTTTCTACCTTTCTTCCGAAGTCTCTGAGCGCTCACTCTAGTTGGGCCCAGTTGAGCTCCAATGCGCGTTTAGCACTTGAGCTCAGCGAAGCGCTTTTCCAGGATGGGCTAGCTTCCTTTGTAGCAAGGAATCAAAGGTTCGTTCTTCCTAGGCTTTACAGCTCACGGAAGCACGAACCTGCTTCCCTCAAACGGGTATTTGTTGAGAGCCCCAAGTAGCTTCTTCTTCCCTTAACCATCGGTTCCAGAACAGCTTACCCCACAAACCCAACCAAGGCTTTAATTCACTCCAGGTCTTGTATCCGAACTTAAACACCTCTTATCCCTGGGTCTACCGTCTTGTGCTTGAAGCACGCATCAAAACAGACTCAGAACACAACTACATAATCAGCTTGCAGCGAGACACGGCTCTACCACCTCCATTTTTTCTTAATCGCCTTTTCAAGCTGGAAGGACTTCATCAAACAACCATCAACCGAGGGCCTCACTTTCAAGGGTTCAGAAGATTGAGGAAATTGTTCACCAATAACTTATATTTTTGCAGCCATTCACACTGAAGATGCGCGACGATTTTGATACCAAGTGGTCCACAGTTCTAGCCAAGGTGCCCAAGGGGAAGAATCCTTTTGATTTCGTACAAAAAAACATGGTTGGTGAACTGTTACACTTTGACTTAATTGTATTCAGAAATTAAGCCATCCCTTTTTAACTTTTTCGGTCTTCCATTGTAGAGCCTCCGCACCCATAACCGACATAATGAAGGCACATTTTTAGTCCTGATCATCTTGACAGTTTTGACCCTTATAAATATTTTGGTCTTGCTATTTTGTTTCTTGTGGGTCCTCTTTAACGGCCGCGAAGGGCGCTCAAGACATCTATGGTTCATTCGATATGTCAGAACCAAAGGTCAGAAACCCCTGCCCGATCCGCCTGAAATGATACCCCGAATTGACATTTGCACGCTTCAGATAAGAAATTTGTTATCGCGCCCAACAGTAGTCTCTTTGTGATAATCTTTCAATCTGCCTCTGGTGCTGCAACGTTGGCGTACATGTCCTTTGTTTTTAAAAACTTCAAAAATCCTCAAGAGCTCAACCTCTCCTCGTCTTCTGTTTGGTAAGTGGAATTACTCAGTTTAAATTGAAAACTCATCAAGTAAAATAGAATACAGAAGAACTAATTGATACACTTCTTCTACCGCATATAAAGGTTTAATATTGCATTTCTTTTATTCTACATTGGGCTCTGGACTTCTGGATGGGGCTACTGGTCTGCTTCGTGAGTTCCTCTTGAAAAACTCTGCAGGTATTCCAGCGCCTGTTCACTCAATTCATTGTCGGACGTAGTCTGTCACGCCAGCCAAAGGACGTACTACTTTCAGATCGCATCTTATCATCGAGAGTGTCTGCCATATGCTGGGCCATTTGGTGCTTACTGGCGGGCGGGTTGTATATATTCACCTCGTGTATGATGCAAGCTTCCTTGCACAAATCTCATGGGAGTGAATTTAAGTTCAGAGCTCAGTTGCAGAAATCTGCTCGCGTGTGGGCCAAAAGTCCAAAAGCCGTGAACCCTTCCGATCTGGCTTCACTCTTCAATCACTGGCGGGATACTCAGCATACATTCGAGCTGTGGCGTACTTTTACCGGAACCTTACAAGGAATCATGAGCTTTCTTCTCTGCGTGGTGCGTTATTTAGAGGGTGCTAAGGTCTCTGTTGATGAAAAATCGCACAAGCTGATCACATGTGGCACGCTTGTTATACCTTCTGACACGACCAGTGGTACTTCGTTGCGGCAGCCGCGCTTAAGAGAATCGAAACTCGGGAAAACGGAGACACCATCAAATCTCACATCCCACTGGCCTTTGAAAAACCCGTCGGTCCTTCAAAACCCAAGTGGCTGAGGAGCTTTAAGATCAGTGAGCCAGAGACAGCTTTCGACTGTAGTGATTCGAGGATGTGAGCTGAACTTCAGTAATTTTGCAAAACAAATATTTAGGCAAGATCAAACTGCTTGTTCTCTACTGTTACGCAATGGTCATTTGTACCCTAGCGTACTCGCTTAGCCTACTGGTTTGCTATCATCTTCCACATCGATTACAATGGTGAGTCATGGGAATTCCTTTTTTTTTTCCTATCGTGATGCAGACTGAGTCATATGGCTGTTTGTGAACAGGGCAATAAGCGCAAATGGCGAGGACGCAGTGCTCAAAATTCTGCCGTTGGTATTTATTTTGCTACTTTCCTCCATTCAAACGGTGCGTATTTCAGGGCAGGAATGGCTACTTCCGTCACAGATGATGGCACTGATTATTCCTCCATTGCTTGCCCGTCATTAGTGGAAGGCTCTTGTGCGAAAGAGGAGAACCTCAAAAGTTGATACGGAACTTTCCGTCCCGCCGCCCCCACAGTGGGCCGCACCCCCAACCGAAGTAAAACTGAAAGCACTGAATACCTTCCATGACATCAACCATAAGTTGCTGTCTCCAGATGATACTCAGGATCACCCTTTGCGGCGTGATTTTCTTCATCTCACCCCTCACATCTCCGTAGACTATTCTAATCCAGACCGTCGTGCACTCGTCGACCTGGACGTTGATCGGGTGAACCCAAAGTCTTGATGAGATACTCGCAAGTGTAA